TGTGTATATGTAGCACATCTTCTTGATCCAGTCATCTATTTTGGGGCACTTGGGTTGCCAAACCAGTATAATTTTATGGTGAATACATCTGAGAGGAGAAAACATACAAGCATACATTGCACAAAAATGAACAATGATGTAGTATATATATAAAAAAACAGTATAAGAATCTTTGAAGCTAACTTGGAATTCCACACCTTTTTGTTGCATAACTAAAGAACAGTTCTAGTATTTCTGAACAACCTCTAAAGAAGTCCCCAGTGTCTCATAAGGAAACATTCTTAAATAGATCTTAGCAAGAAATTCCACACTCCCTAGTCTTAAATAGTTTTCCATGACTTCCAGGCCCTAATAGATCCTCTTCGCCACTGTACCCTGTTCCTAGGGGGTAAAAAACTCATCACTCCACTGTTGGGACTGACTTAGTTATTTACCTTCCATAGAAAGGCAGCCATTTCCATGGGAACAAATCTGCGAGGTTCACCCATGTGGCACCAGCACTAAGTTGCTACTTGGTACTTAACGATGTTCCTCATTTAAGTCACAGAACACAGAAAATAGTTTTAGTAACTATTTTCTCCATTCTCTCAAAGGTGGAACATAACTGAGTACCTTTTGGAACTTAGTGGAACACGCATCATAAGTTACAGAATAAATGTCCTCAATATAAGCTAGCTATCTACTAAGGTCACACAAGTGGTGATTCCGAAGATGATGAAATGACTGTGAGAATAATATATATTTTTACTGTGTGCCAGGCACATTCTCAGTCCTTTACATACATCTTACTTAATCCTCACCACGAGCATGTCACTCACATTTTACAGACAAGGAAACTGAGGCTCCAAGGCACAAAATTGCTTGCCCAAATGAGTGACAGCAGTCAGCCTCTAAAGTCCCATTCTCTATACTATATTGTAACAAAGTGAGCAAAGCTGGACTGTGGCAAAATGCAAAGTACATTCCCCATCTAAAGGGGCATCCGCTGCTCAGCTCTTCTTAATGCAATGAGTGTTCACTGTTGCCAGTTTCATTTTTCAGAAGGCAGACAGCTAGATCTTTATGTGAAACTTCTCAACTTTTAAGTATTAGAAAATATTTCAGAAACTTTCAAAACAGTCAAGTAAAAGACAACATACCTAAGGGCAAGATGGATATGAGAGTTGTAATTCTGTGCTCTCCGGTAGTTCTGATTTTTGCACAAAAATATGCACACCAAATGGCTTAGGGGTTAGGTCTCAGCGTTATCACCATGAAGGACTGAGCTGGATCCCTGGTCAAGGAGGTGACCCACAGAGGGCACAGCAGACCTCTCCTATCTCGCCCGTTGCTCCCCTCAGTAGTGTGTTTCAGAAGATTCACCTGCTCTGCTCCCTACTCTCTCTGGTGAATCCTCTCACCCCCACACCTCTGGCCTACACTCCAGTTCTTCTATGTAAAAAAAAAAAAAAAAAATATATATATATATATATATATATATACACACACAAACACACACACCCCAAAAACGCATAATCTGAATCTAATCCTAAGGAAAATTGAGAGAAGGTAGAATACAGGAGCAATCTACAAAACCAACAGCCTTTACTCATCTCAGATATCAATATATTGAAAGACAAAAAAAAAAGGATGAACCAAAGTAAAGTAGATTAAAAGAAAGCAGAGATATGACAATTCCAGGTATGGGTGATCCTTCCTAGGGCCCTGGAAAAGGAGATAAATGCTATAAAAGGAAATACTGGAAAAATGTAGACAATTTAAATATGAACTTGGATTAAAGAATAGCATCATATCAATGTTGGTTCTTCTGAAATTGACAGGAGCTATACTTCTATTTAAGAGTGTCACTGTTCTCAGAAAATACATGCTGAAGTATTTGGGGATATAGAGGACTGATTTTTCCCACTTTGCAATGATTCATTTAAGAAGATGGCTCACATGTGTGAGTATAGAGAGAGAGAAAGCATGCTAGGAAGCAGAAGTGGCAAAATGTTAACAACTTGGGAATCTGAATAAGAGGTCTGTGAGAGCTTCTTTTCTACACCTGCAGCTCTTCTGTAAATTTTAAATCATCTTAAAGTAATAAAATACCATCTTAAAAAAAAAAACAATGGTATGGGAAGCCCTGAGTCAGCAGAGGGCCCTTTAGGCAACCCAACTCAAGGCCATACCCTCTCCACCTGGCACAGTGGCCAAACCAGGTCACACTGTACCCTCCCGGCAACCCACAGAAACAGTTATTCTTGAAATCATCTTCTGGTTGGGGAAACTGAGGCATGAGGTGGCAACCCTCCATTCCAACAGCAGTAAATTGTAGAGACCCTGGTTCTAACTCAAGATATCAAGTATCACTCTGGACTATTCCACTGTAAGCCTTACAAGAAAAAATCATTTTTAAATGCATTCATGTACTTTGGTGGTCTTATGCTTTAACACAAATTAAATAAGTTTTATCATGAAAAGCTAGATGATATTTAATCCAACTTTTTATTTACCCTCCAGACTTAGAAACAGTAAAAAGCCTATAGTATAAACCATCACAAGAAAAAAATATGTTATTTCAAAGAGAAAAGAAAAGCCATTAGGGGGATGGTAAAGTTTAATCTAAAAGGTAAACCATAAAATCTTTGTGACTTTCAGATAAGATTTCATAGATAAGACTACCAAAATATGAATCATAAAAAGAACTGATGAATTGACCTTTATCAAAATTAAATACTTTTGCTCTTCAAGAAACCATTAAGTAAACCACAAAAATTGGACAGTGTTCAAAATATGTAGTGCTGACAAAGGACTTGTATCTACCATACATAAAGAACTCATAACAATAAGAACACAAAAAGCCCCCCCAAGAAATGGGCAAAAAAATATGAAGACACTTGATCAAAAAAAATTTATATGTCAATAAATGCATAAAAAGCTGAGCCTCACTAGACATTATGGAAATGAAAAATCAAAAACCATGAAAAACCCCTTTATTGGGATGGCTACAATAAAAGATAGATGATAACAAGTGATGACAATTATGTAAAGAAACTGGACCACTTTGGTTTCCCATATTGGAAAATGAGTCTGAGTTTGGTAGGACTGCTATGATAAGATACTATACAGAGAGACTGGGAGGCTTATCAACAGCAGAAATTCATTCCTCACAGTTCCAAAGGCCAGAAGTGCAAGATCTGGGTTCTGGTGAGAACCCTCTTGTGTGTTACAGACTCCCAACTTCTAGTATCCTCACATGGCAGAAGAGGTGAGGGAACTCTCTTAGGCCTTTTTTATGGAGCACTAATCCCATTCATCAGGGCTCTACCCTATCTCCTGCCATCACTCTGGAGAGTAAGATTTCAACATCTGCATTTCAGGAGGAAATAAATATAGAGATCAAAACAATCCCTATGGCAGTTTAAACAGAGATTTACCAGATGCCAAGCAATTCCAAACCTAGCTATCTACTCAAGAGAAGTGAAAACATACATCCATATAAACACTAGAACACGAATGTTCATAGTAGCATATTTCAATAAAAGCCAAAAAGTGAATATGGTTATAGTTTCAATAGCATGAAAGTTCATATGGTGCAGGAATTCTACTTTAGCCAAAATCATAATCCCAGTGCCTGGCAAATAACAGGTGTAAAATAAACGTTAAAGAATAAATGAGTATCTTTAAAGGTTGTTAGTGAACACAACCATTTATTTGTTTCTTTGCACTGTTGTACACAAATACAGATGGTACAGATGGATTCTCCCCCTTTGAATCTATCTATCTGTAGTATATCACCCATATCATTGCACACTTAAGGATGGAAACTTGAGATGTCTCATGAAATTTTCCTAAAATTTAAGTAATTAAAGAACATATTTTATATTGCAAATCCAAAAGGATAGCAACCCTAAGACAAACCTACTTGTAGGACTCTATGAGAGCAAGAACTGTGTCTCTTTTATTTAAAATTGGCCCTCACTTCCAATATTTGCCTACATAGAGTAGGGAACAAACAATGGGCAAAGGCTCTCTCACCAGATAAGGCACAGAAAAGAGGTTCTTTTAAGAAGGCCAACGTGGCCGATGGGCACAGAACAGGAGTATCATGTCCAATGAGGCCATGGACGCAAGCAGGGTGAGACAGGCCTGCAGAGTAGGCCATGAGAAGTTTTGTCTTTATCTCAAGAGCAACAGAAAGCCATGGAAGATTTTTCAATAGGTGATTGACAGAGCAGAGAGCAAAGAAAAGGACATGATGATCAGATCGACATTTTTTGAAAAGACCACTCACCATCCATTTTGAAGAAGAGACTGGTTATGTGGGAGAAGTGAAAGGAGACAAAGGAGTGTTAGGATGTAGAGTGAGCGTAGACCAAGAAAGAGAATATTCCAACAGGCCATTAAAGAGATCATGAGAACAAGATCTAGGGTAGTGGCAACGGAAACAAGTGGCCAGACTATCAATATACTTAACAAATCAATAGGACTTGATTTGGGGAATGACAAAAACGACAACATTCAATTCTTCCGAGCCTCAATTCTTCATCCGTAAAACAGGACTGTTGATACTCCATTTGTATAATATCTATCTTGCAATCTGCTGTGATAAGAATATGAAACAACATGAATATCATGAACACAGAGCTTGACACGCAACAATCGCTTAAAAAACTCGCTGCTGCTATTATTATTATCACTGTCATCCCATGGAATAGAAATCAGCTGGGCTGAACCTCAAATGTGGTAGGTAAATGGGGTGATTGCAGTTGAGCCTTCACAGCCTCTGTGCAGGAGCTACAGACCACCACAGCCGGCCACTGAAACAAGCGCCCCAAAACAGGGCTAGGCCTGCAACCTGAGCAGCACGAAGGTGGAACCCCGAAGCCCTGCAGACGAGGCCTGTCACCCCCTGGCTGAAACCGGGGTGTCCGCTGGCGATCAAGCCAAGCCCTCCTGTTCCCTGGCCCTCGGCGCCAGCGCGCGAGAGACCCCAGACTCCAGAGAGCCCGACGTACCTTGGCTTCGCGCTCCCTTTCCTCGGCGGTCGGGGTCCGCTTCATGCTGCTGTTCCAGCCGCCTTCGCCTCTGCTGGCCGCGTAGACCCTCGTCCCGGGCCCCGCCTCCTGCTTGTAGTTCCCCGGGCGGCCCGCTCCCGCCGGGAGCCATTCTCTCAGCGAGCCTCGGGAACTACCACTCCCAGGATGCACAGCGACGACAGCCGGGCGCGCCGCGGGGTCTAGCGCCCGAGGATTTCCCAGGTCCGACAGCTGGTTGAGCGTAGTCCGCTGCGCCGCGCGCCGGCGGGCGGGTGCCCGGGGAGAACTACATTTCCCAGGAGGCGATGGGGCGCGCCATGTTTTTCCCGTGCTCCTCTGGGCCGTCGGCGCCATAGCAACGGTAGCTAGCGGCGGGGCGAGCGTGGCGGTGAGTACTGTGCGGGAGGAGCGCGGGATGGAGGCGGCCGACCCGCTCCCGCGGCGGGGCCGGGGCCTGGGGCCCGCACGGCGGCCGGGAGGAGGCCCTGGAGTTCCGCTCGCGTGAAGAGCGCCCTGCACGAGACCCCGCCGCCTCCTCGGGCCTGAACCAGAACCCGCCCATGAGCCTCGCGCCCTGGACCGGGTCGAAATTGTAGTCCCAGCCCCCGAGCCTCGCGGAGGAGGGGTCATGTTCACTGCCGGCCCCACCCAGGTCCTTCTGCAGAGGGAAGGTCACATGGACACTGGTTGCCCTGGGTCAGGAGCTGGGGGGTGGGCGTCCCCTCAATCCCCTGAGCGGCCTGTTGTGTGCGTGTTTGTGATTATTTGTTTGTCGTCTGGTTTCCCCAGAGCCTGTCAGCGCCACACAGGGGACTCTGCTCACCATTTTAGTCTCAGGACCAAGTGCCAATTTTTTATTCATGAAGTGCCAGGCCCTGTTCTAGATCAGCTGTGCCTGAGACCAGGCTGGCCTCAGATGCTTAAACTTCACGAACAAAGCCGGGCTAGGTAATGAATAAGGTGATTGTAGGCAGAGATGGTTGCTATAAAAGAAGTGATGACATTGGGAGGAAGAGCACTCTTAACACGGGGTGGACAGGGAGGGTCTCTCTGAGGAGAGGCATGGAGCCCTGAAGAATGAGGAGCCAGTTAGTGCAGGGCCTTCAGTGGGCTGTGCATGAGACCAGGCTGGCCTCAAGGTGCTTAAACTTCACCAACAAAGACAGACTAGGTAACGAGTAAGGTAATTGGGGGCAGAGATGTTTGCTATAAAAGAACTGATGACATTGGGAGGAAGAACGCTCTTAACACGGGGTGGACAGGGAGGGTCTCTCTAAGGAGAGGCATGGAGCCTTGAAGAATGAGCCAGTTAGTGCAGAGGCCTGCAGTGGAGGAGGGTAGCAAGGACTTGAATAGGAGTAGAATGGAGTGAGCCAGGAGAGACAGCAGGAGATGGTGTTGGGGAAGCATCACTGTGCTACACAGAGGCCTCTCCACCTTCTCGCTGTCAACATTTGGGGGTCAGTGAACTCTTTGCCGTGGTTCCTGTGTACCGTAGGATATTTAGCATCATCTCGGGCCCGCAGATGCCAGTAGCACCCCCTCTTCCCAATTACAACAATCAAAAATGGGACCAAACTGCTTTGAGTTGTGTGACTCTGGGCACATTACAGAATATTTGTCTGGTTTTCATTTGTAAAGTGGGAATCATTTGATTAACAACCTCACAAGGAGGTGGTGTGATGTTTGATTAGTTCATATAAACAGAACACTCCCAAGAGTGCCTGGCATTTTTGTAAGCATTAGTTAACACCATCATCATCATTGTTATAAAAGCTACCATAACGCTATATGGAAAAGTTATTTTCATAAGTAGCTTGTGTTTAAATTTCTTGTTAATTCGGGTCCTAAGTTGACCTTTTCTGCAGCAGTGTTTCCAAGAGTTAGATGGTGATCTCCCAGGCATAAGTCTGTTAGCTGCTTATGTCACAGCAAAATGCAGTGGTTCTCAACCTTTAGGAGTTAATAATAAAGGTTCAGAACCCTCTCCCTAAAAGATACTCATTTATACCTACGCAGGGTAGGTCCACAGACCCTGAAACCCCGTGGACTCCATTCGTTCATTCAGCAGCTGTTTAGTGATGCCTACTATGTGCCATGCGTTGTGCCAGCCTGTCAGAATACAGAGGTAAATAAGACAAATGAATTGCCTACTCTCTTGGATTTTACATTCTAGCACCAACACTGTAGAGATTGAGAACCTCCACCTTAGAGATCTCATTGGGATTTTTTGGTGTTCTGGTTGACAGAAATGGAAAAGAAAAAAATACATACATATATATGTATTTATATGTATATGTGTATTAGACTTTGCATGAATCTCTCACATTTGCATACAAAATTAAGTGGTGCATCTCTATAAAGAACAGAACCTGTATAAATGCCAGAATTAGCTAGAGAGATGGTGAGGTCAGAACCCCTGAGACCTAAGCCACGTGGCAACAAAGACAGGACACGCACAACCCTGTTGTAAATTTATGAAATTTCTTTCTCAGAACTTGGCACAATCAATTCATTTATGCTTCCAGCTAAAATTATTCAAATAACATTTACATCAAGACAAATGAGCTAAAAGCTTTTCACTGGTATCCCTTCCGTGAGAGAAATGTTATTTTCTCCATTTTTCAAACTAAGAAACTGAAACTCAGTGAGATAAAGTGACTTGACCACCTAGTAAATAATAAAATCACCATTGGAATCAAGTTCCCGACTTGAGCTTTTTGCATGATACCTGCTTTCTTTGGGGGTCAGAGAAAGGTGTTTCTTAAATTTGGGGAAATCATTTTCACATCAGAGGATTAGGAAGAAGAAAAAAGGAAGAATGATAATCTTACCTCATTTCCCGAGCAAACTATAGGAAATACACTGTTGAAAGGAGCACAGTGTCCATGATTGAATGTAGTATTACTTTTAGGATAGACGCTTTCATCTTTTTCAAGCTGCACATGTGGGCAATAAGATGTCCATTAAAGTTCTAGTGCCATATTCGTTTTATTTGGTTCAGTCCATTGCATAGTTTATGTAATAACTTGGAAAGATTTTATTTGAATTTTCTTTTCTCCACAGATAGGCCATGTCTACTCCAACTGATGAGACTGCAGGAGACCTGCCTGTGAAAGATACGGGTCTAACCCTCTTTGGGATGGGAGGGTTACAAGGTAGGGCCAGCTGTTGTTTATTACTGTTATGAACTTTGATCAGTAACGTCTTTACTTTCAATTTAAAGTATTTCTGATATTCTTATTACAAACCAAGCCATTTCAGTAACTCTATAGCTTTTGATTGGACTAAACAAGATTGAGAGTTTAGAAAAACATGTGGTATTTTACTGCATGCATCCATTATCAACAGCTCATAGAAAATGTAAAATCTCCCTCTGTTCTGATAAAGATTTGTTATAAATCATCTTATGAAATTCCATACTTCAGTAGAAGCTACACAGATAGTATCAAACCTCCAAACTGAATTGCCTGGTTTAAATCACATTCACCATTAAAATGTTTTCTTTATGTTTAAATTTTATGTGGGAGGAATGCCATATTTAAGAATGTTTTCCTTTCAAGTGAAATATCTCAAAATGGCTTGTTTATACAAGTGATAGTGATTTTATTTTATCAAATTAATATAAAGATTTTCTCTGTCCTTTTATGACGTAGTGATTGCTAGAGAACTACTCTTTAGTTAAAACTATTTTAGTATTTTCACATTGAGAAAGAAAAGGACTGCTTTATAAAACGATTCAGAGTATAGGACTGGTTTTGTTTGTGTACAGCTTGCTGTGTCAGCCGTGCTCTCAGGCCGCTGTACTTGTCATTGAGAAGACCGTGATACAAAAATACTCCACGCAGGCATCTTCCTACACCTGTTAACCAGAACAGGGCAAGTGGCCGCCTTGAATGCCCACAAAAAAGCCATCAATATATTGTTCATTGGAACGGATAAAATTTGACTATTCAACTTTGGTTGAATGCATGTAAATAGTATTTAATAGTAAAATACTATGTCTAAGCTTTGCTGTATCTTTGGGGGAGTATCAAGTATTCAAAATACACAGAAACTTTTAGTGTGCAAAGCTATTTATTGGTTTTGATTTCCTAAATTCACTTCTTGCCCTCAGTCATCCATCGTAGGACTTTTATGTTTGTCCCTTTGCTTTTTGCTTCTTTGGTAATATTTTTGAAAATCTGTACTTAACAGTAATGTAGAAAAATGCCAACTTTAAGTAGTTGGTATGGAATTCAAATTATTGTTAGAAATTTTGCTTTGTAAAAAAAGTAATACTTTCAGATAGCCTTGTACTTTTTCACATTCAGCATATAAACTGAAAACTATTAAATCAGCGTTCGACCTTACATTCATAAAGCGTGGTTATTTGGAAACATTTTTTTAATGGTACTACTGTCCAAATCTTTATTATTGCATATAAAGTATTAATAGCAAGGATTTTTTCTTCTCACCTCCAATCAGTTGAGTGAGCAGTGCTGTAGCATTTTTTTAAAGCACTATTATTTGAAGGTCTCAGGAAAAATATCTGAGATGAGTACATCGGAGATTCTATTGATAAGCAGTGATTTTTAGAGACTGTATTAAGTAATCCTACTCTTCATTACCTCGCCACTTTTGCAGAAACTTCAGCAACTCGGACAATGAAGTCTCTCCAGGCCGTGTCGCGTATCAGTCGAGAGGAACTGGAAGACAGATTTTTGCGTTTGCACGATGAGAACATTTTGCTTAAGCAGCATGCCCGCAAGCAAGAGGATAAAATTAAAAGGTTATGATAAAAAGCTTTTAGCTTTTTTTTTCTAACTCTGTAAAGTTTGAAGGATATGCTTTTTTATAAACTTAATTGAAAACACCACCTTGAATCTTTTCCTTTTTGGACAAGGCAGGTTGTAAATAAATACAATTTTTAGAAATGGAAAATCTTACAAACTAGAATAGTAAAGCAAAATATTATGAGTGTTTATTATATCTGAAGTTGCTGTTTGAGAGAAAAGCGCTAATAGCTCAGAGTGCCGTGAGTGTGTCAGAGCTATAAATAGCTTTTGGTTTAATATTTATAGTTTAAAAGACAAATGCCAAAGCATCTGTTTTTTATGTCTTGATTTTTAAATGAAAGTTTGAAAAAGTAATTAGCATTCGAACTTGCTAGAATGCATGTTCCCTTAAAATTTGGAGCCTGCTAATGAAAACATTATTTAAAACTCTGAAATATATTTAACATTGCTTGAATTAGACTGGGATCTATATTTATTTTTAAAGTCTCTGCAGTGTCTGAAGAAACATTGCTAGTTTTGATTTGTGTGCAAAAAGTTTGTGCAAGGGTGATTTCTGGAGAGGATAGATCCGCTTTCCTCTATTCTTACTCAGAAACACTGTCTTCTGAATGTGTGGCAGGAAAAACAAAAATACGTTCTCATCTGTAAACGTGAAGAGATCTGTATTTGGATTCATGTTCTAGGTTCAATGAAAAGGTGAGCCAGCCTTTGAGGAAAGAAGATGGGGTATTTTCCTGCCCAGGATTTTCCCAAAGAGGAGGACTCTAGTTCAGTTTCTGGTCTGTGGACTCTGTCTTAGTGACCCACTGACCTGCTGTGTGGGGGCTTTTGCTTTGAGTTGGTTTTTGTGTCCCGATGAAGGCTTGTCTCAAGAGGTGTGACTCACTTGCCTGATTCCTTCCCTGACTGGGGACACACACGCCAACCTGTCGGAGTGAGGCTAGTGAGCACACTGTACAGTGTTTTTTTTCCTTTGTAGACCTAATTGGTCAGTGAGAGAATTGAATTCACAACCTTGACCTCATTAGTAATTTGTCCTAGCCAGAAAATAGAAACCACTTAATGATGAGTCATCAGTTTAATGGGAAAATGCCTCAAGAGTCCAGTCCTGTGCATAGACTCTCTTCTCTCTCTGCCACTAGTCTGTGTATATTCAAGCCAGTTAGCCTCCTGGATTTTTATTTTCCTCCTATCTGAGGGTAGTGAGCCAGTGACTCCCTAGATACATGAGTAAAGCTGCTTTTAAATTTATCTTAAGTATTGTAACTAGTACTTTCTTGGGTATAAATGTAGACTTGATAAATCAAGTACACAGGGATCACTTATGATTCCTTAATATCAAATAAACCAGTGAAAATTATTGCTATTGCTAGATAAGCAGATATAATCTTGGGTTTCTTAACAAAATTTGATTGACCATCCTTCAAGGCACTTAAAGCCATTCTATTGATGTGATTCTCTTGCCTTAAAAATCGGGGTCATTTATTTTTCTCTAGATATTGACTGCTTTTTTATATTATCACTGGGCCTGTCTGTCTTCTGAACGTGATCTCTAACTGGGTGAAAGTCGCTGTGTAGCGGAAGATTCGGATATTTAGATGGTTCCATATTTACTGGATAAGCCATTGGGGTAAGGCTCAGGACCCTAAACTCATCAAGGACTAGATAGAGTGTGCCTCTCATGGGCTCTGATACCTGGCCAGATCTCCCAATGATATATCATTCTCTGGATTAGGTGGAAAAGGAACTAATCCATTGATTATTTTACTAGGGTGTTTGTGGTACTCTTGGATCTTGGTTTTTATTATTCTATATCCCTTATAAAGCATGTTTAATGGATGTGCCTCAAGGGAAAGAGAAAACAATCTTAACTGATTATGTTATGCATAGCTCTCCCTGGGCCACATGCTGTAGACTGAGTAGCCAGAAGTGTAGATAGACATGTATTACTACCGCTTTTACAGAGGACTCTGCTTAGGGCAAAAAAAAGGTTGTACTATGACATCCCAAAGCTATTAAGGATTTTTTTATTTCACTTTTGTTCTCTTAAGTAAAAGCTTCTGTCCATAACCATGCTAAAATAAAGCAAACCCCATTTAAAGAAAAATGAAGTGTGTTTTTATTTTCAATCTCCTGTCTGGGTCTTTATAAAAATAGATTCACTATAAACTAGAATCAGCTATTGAAGATGTGCGACCAATTTTGTAAAGTCTTGAACTTATGTCTCTCATCAAAGCCACCTTTTCTTTCTTGTCCTGCCAAGATTTTTCCATTCACTGTCAGGCATGTTTTCCGTACGTGTATATTACATCACCCCCATGTGCCCTTTCTGTCTTTTGTTCTGTCCAACCAGTTTTTGTCAAAACTTAAAAGAGTCAAAGGTATAAACTAGGGAGATGTCAAAAAAAAAAACAATTTATGTCAAAATTTAAAGGTAGCATTAAAATAATATTTTTCCATCGGATTGTTTTCTGCCATCAGACATGTATGTTTCTGGAGCACTCGGCAACATTTAATCGCGCGTGTTGGTTCCTTTTGAATTTTTCATTGGGCTTTTATATGTGTATGTCTCTGCATGCTAACGTTTTGATATTTGCAGTATGTCTCTATCCTAGAGAAACTAAAAACAATATATCACCTAAATGCTGCAGTCTTAATACACTTTTCAAAAGCTTTAACTCACTGTGGATTGCGGATATAACCCACCACATCCACAATCTGTAACTACATTTAAGTGCATACAGCATTCCTACATAAGGTCATGCGTTAAAAATTGCATCTGAGGAACATATGGAGTAAATATGTGTCCTCTCTTTACTAACCCTAAATGATAAGCCTTAGGAAACTGTTATTTGTCAGTGCTATAAAGCAGATTGTTGCCCAGTGGTTTCAATTATCATCAAAGGATTCCTCACAGGCAGTAATAGGCACATCAAAACCTGAAATGTATTATTCAGGTTCTGCACTGAAGTCTTCACAGTGATTACGTTCCTTTCAACAGAATGCATTTTATGCTGACTTCTCACATTCCTTTTCATCTTTTTATTATTTCCCTAGAATGGCCACCAAGTTAATACGGCTAGTTAATGACAAGAAAAGATATGAGCGGGTTGGTGGCGGCCCCAAGCGGCTGGGACGAGACCTGGAAATGGAAGAAATGATTGAGCAACTGCAAGAGAAAGTTCATGAGCTTGAAAGGCAAAATGAAGCCCTCAAAAACAGGCTGATTTCAGCCAAACAACAGCTTCAGATCCAGGGTCACAGGCAAGCTCCATACAATTATGTACAGTCTCGTATTAACACGGGGCGGCGAAAAATAAATGACAATGCGGGCCCGCAGGAAGGCCCCCGAAAAGGTAAACTTTATATTAAATCCGCAATGTCAGTCTTTTGGTAGGCTGTGTTATATACACGCTCAGGTTTATTTTGCTTTGTTCATGCTTTTCAAAAGTGTTTTTAGAAAGTGGAAGGTAGATTTTTTTTTACTTGCTTTTTTATAAAATCGTATAATATTAACATGAAGAACATTTGATTGAAGAGTGACGACATCAAACTCAATTTTGTTTAGAAAAATATGGAATGTACCGGCCCATCCTTAACGACATGTGAAACTAAGTATGAGTTTCATTTGAGTTGGTTTTCCATATGGAAAATGGGAATCACATTGACTCAGGCAAATGGGGAAAACTGCTGATTTGCTTTTACATGATCACACTTAAGTTCTTTGTCCAACGAACCTTAATAAAATTTACAAAGTTGTTTAAACCGTTCTTATTGCGTCCAGGCAGCATACAGGGGAATGAACACGTAGCCAGGGTTTTTGAAAGTTGGCTTCTTGACGCTCGACTTACTAGCTGGTGATCTTGGGCAAGTCTTCTAATGTCTCTGAGTTTCAGTTTTCTTTATGTGTAAAATAAAAAGGTTTAAGCAAATGAACATAAAAATCTCTTCCATCTCCAAAAATGCTCCTTTTGAAAATGATTCACCTGAAACCAACCAGATTAAAAAGCAATTCAGTTTCAGAAACAAGACTCAGTGTAGAAAGACCCTAAATATTCTTAATAAAAATTCCCAAGTGTCTCCAGCCACATGTAAACTTTATAATGAAATGAAAAGTCAGTAAGTATTTTAAGTGACATTTTTAAAATTTCAACTACTGGGGAGGAAATGAAAGCTTAGCTCTAATGACCTTCATTTGAAATATCCTTCACATAAAAACCAAAATTTTTAGGCACCTAAAAAACTGTAAAAGCTTTAATTCATGGAGGAAGAAAAAGCACCATATATTGAATAGAAAGGGAGAAAAATTTGTTCTATTTTTTTTTTCCAAGCCAAAATGTTAACATTATCTGGTCCCAAGACACTTCCTTTGGAGCCAGTAGGGCCTTCTCAGGCAGGAGGCAGCTGCAGCATGAAAGGCCTTGGCTGCTTCTCCCTGTGTGAGATTGGCAGTGGACTCTGAATGTAACCGAAGCAATCATGATGAATTATAAATCAGAAAGTACATTCTGCCAATAATTAACTTTTTACATGGCAGAGAACATGTGACCTCTCAGAACCTCGTTTTCCCAGGCTGAGAAATGGAGCGATAACTCCAGATCACGTGAAAGGTCAGGAGATGGTGGTGCCACAATAATCTATTTCATCTTTAAAAAGTCACTTCTGGGGCCTCCCTGGTGGCGCAGCGGTTGAGCGCTGGGTTGCGAAGCTGTCCGCAGCCTCTGCGGCGCTGGTTCGATCCCCGGCTGCTCCCCGGCCACCGGAGGAGGGTCCCACATGGCGCGCAGACCCCTCCTGCCGCCCGCTGCTCCCCTCAGCAGTGTACTTCGGTCCTTCTGCCTGCTCTGCTCCCCGCTCTGGCTCTGGTGAATCCTCTCACCCTCCCGTGCTTCTGACTGTACCCAGTGCTTGTATAAACAAATAAATAAATCTAAAAAAATAAATAAAATAAAAATGTTATAAAAAAAAAGTCACTTCTCTCTTACCCTCAGTTTTGTCATCTGTGACTATCTTTGGGCAAGATGATTTCTAAGGTCTGCAAACTTTTTTATACTAAATAAAAATCGTGCCCCAATTTTAGGTTAAAGTGGCAAACTAACCTAGTGCTATGAATCATGAGTAGATGAGTTTGCTAGAATTTTCTCCATAGGGTGGGGGAAAAAAATCAGCAGAGTCTTTTGAAACTACGACTATATAGCTTCCGATTTTTCTTCACTGTTTGGTACAGAGACCAAGATGTAGAAGCTGCATAAGCACTAAGTAATGGTGAATGCTTTCCTTCCCACTCTTTCTGAGTAAAGCTGAAGCATTATTAACAATTACTAACATTATTAGTACCTTAGTAATCTTCATAGATTCTATACTTGAGGCTGGAACTTAGGCCAAACATGTCAGAAATACCTCAAATTGGGGTGACTGAAAGAAAATCCCAATCCCTTTCTGGCCACAGCAGTCTTACCCCCAACTTGCTATACAGTGATCTTTATCTCGTTGTACTTTTCAGGATAAAGGGTGGCAGTACTGGCTTAAGGCATGACCAGTATAATGCAGAAACAAGTTTTATTGTGAAGAACCTGTAGTAGAGCAAAGATTTTTATAAAGTGAACAATTTTAAACTATAACCATTGACAAATCACATGACACTAAACAGTTTCAAATCTATTTTTAAGTATAAATAGGATATTTTAAATTCCACTAGAAATGATCAGTTTGTTGATGATTTATATAGACAAAGCTTAAGGATTAATATTATTGCCAAATAATATAATTGAAAAATTTTAACATGTTAAACTGTTTTAATGTTTTAGGCAGAGCCTTTTCTGTTCTTTAGTCTAGATTGTAATAAAATAGATGTTGAAAGTTTTGAAAGTAGCAAATAGTAGTCCTGTTATCCTAATTAAAATTCTCATTTTTAAAAAGTAAACTTTTCTAAAAACAATTTTTCTGTACCTGTATTTCCGGGACTATTGGCCACTTAAAAATCTAAATTTTCTATTATATTTTTATGTACCCTAAAATCTAATAGTTTAATTGTTCTGTAAATGTGAAGTAGCTAACATAAGTAAAGGTATTAGACCAGGCTTGTAAAGTTGCATGTAACTATTTTTATAAGAAAAATGGTATCTTAAGAGTGACGGCAAAATGTGTTATTTAAAGAAATACTTTTGATGTTCCCTTCTCAAATCACCTCTGTGTAAATGCGGGTTTTCTTCTTGGGGTGAAATAAATCAACGTGCAAGAAACAATTGTTGTACATACACTCATAGTGTCTGTGAGTCACACAACTGAGATAAGTTTCAAAATATGAGATTAGGGATAGGAGTGACTTATTTAAACATTAAAAAATTCCCCCCTCCCTCCAGAGAATTCAAGTTTTTAAAACCTTTTCCTCCATATCTCAGTTTATATTGTAAAGTCCCAAAGTAAAGATTTTGCTTTTGTCAGAAATTATTTCAGGAGTTCTAAATCTGAGCTTTATCAGATTATATCTGGGTAATTTGATTTCAGTAGTAAAATCTGTTAAATGGGCAACACTTGCTGCTGTCTTTTATTTAATGCCTGCTGGCGCCTGATATCTAATAGTTCCTCTGGCAGTGTATTTCTAATTCTTTAGAGCACATATCTGTCGGTACTCAATAAGTAACTTTATTGTATTACGAATATACTTATAAATCAAGGGTCCTTCTATTCTAACTTCACTTCTATAATCATATTAATTTATTTTTAGGTATTAGATTCCAAGATGTAGATGTAGCAGAAACTCTTCAGCCCATGCTTACAAAATATGGCAACAGTTTACTGGAAGAAGCCAGAGGAGAAATAAGAAATTTGTAAGTATTCTTTATCGTGGTCATTTTAGAACTCTTAGCATGTCTTTTTCTTCATCCTTCCCTTCCCATTATTTTAAACAAAATTGGTTTATGTGTAAATAATTTGCTTCACTAAAATATAGCTAGTTATTTGGGGGTAAGAACAGATATTATATAACATGTTTTCAGTAAAATGAGGAAAATGACCAATTTAACCAACTACACCAACTGAAGGATTTATAGAATAGTCCCCTTTATTATAATTGCCCCCCCACCAAAGGAATGGCATAATGCCCAGTTTTTGAGAATAGTATAATCTTTAGAGGCAACATTTTCATCCTCAGAAAAATTACAGGTAATTTTTTTTAAGATCCTGAATTATATAGACTTTTTGTGGTTAAAAAAAAAATCGGAGGGAGTGGCTTAAAAGTTTGGAGTTATCAAATACATATGGATTTTAGATTTTGTTTTACTGTGATTCTACAGCCCCACATTCTTCACCATACTATGGTTTCAGAAGTTACTTCTGCCACACTTAGCTTACTTTTTCAGTTAATAAAAGCCTCATGGCTTCAGTGTCTGTGAATCACGCAAATGTACTAAGGTTCCACCTCATCTACGGGCCTTCACCTGGATCGTCAAAAAGTAATAGTTCGGAATGAGGAAGAGAAAACACAAGACGGAGTGTCATACTTTAGATAGTTGCTTAAAAATAATATGGGCTTAAACTTTTTTTCTTCTGAATATTTTAAATTCCAGTTACAGTAATGATTAGCCTGTGAGAGAATGAACTAAAATACTAGACCAAATTTTGTTACCTGGTAATTACTGAAAAGTCGGGGCTCATACCAGTTTATAAGGCTCCCTGCCCGAGGATACAGCCAGGCGTGACAGGTACATATGTGTCCAGAAATGATGCCGGTGTGGCTTGTCCATTTGCTGCCAGCTCTCTTTCAAGTGTTCATTGGATGGCATATATGCAGACGTGCGCGTGAAAGAGCCAAGCCATAAAAGTTATCTGAAAGGGGATCAGATCATGGAGTACCTAACGGTGATCAATAAATAATTTGATTGAGCCAAAGTCTAGTATTTTGCCTAGGACATTATCTTATGAAAAGCAGTATCTTGAATTTGCCCACATCTACTTCCAAATCATCACATTAATCTGTTGTTTCTCTAAGTGAAGAGGCACTTAAACTAAAATGTTTAACTTTTGCTTGCTCTTCATTATGAAGAACTTTTCTTTAAATGCTGCAACTTTTTCCTCAAACTAAAAATCCTTACGAAGAGTCTTTCTTTCAGAGAAAATGTGATTCAGTCACAGAGAGGCCAGATAGAAGAACTAGAACACTTGGCTGAGATCCTAAAAACTCAGTTGAGGAGGAAAGAAAATGAAATTGAGTTATCTCTTCTTCAACTTCGAGAACAACAGGCTACAGATCAAAGGTATGTTGAAACAGAAATATCACTTTGATAAGGTTAAAATTAGTTTAAAATACTTTATCATGTGCCATAGAAGAATAAATCTTGTCTACAGAAAAATCATGTTTTTACTTAACATCCTATGTATAAGCCACTCTCGGCCTAGCCGCTGCTGTCGGCCTAGCCACTGCTATCAACAGTTCTAGTTGCAAGACACCCTGCCTACCTGCTCTGCCTTGTCTTATTTTCCTCACTAATTTGCCTCATTTACCAAGATTATGACATTGGATACCATTTGATCGTCCCTACGTCCAGAAGGGTGTGACAAAGACTCAGCTGTTGGCATGCTTCGTGAGTAACAGTCCAGCCTCCCCTAAGGTTTTTCAAGCTTAAAAGGTAGCAGTTTCTATAATGCAGTACCAGTTTTATATCTCAAAGAGGTGTTACCTCTCCTAACATTCAGTATTCAAAATACAAAATCATCTAATTCTGTTGATTATCATGATCACACTGGAGCCCTTTGATATTCTCCTTGCGCGTCTTCATTTTTGATGTTCTGTAACACAGTGACTTTGATCCCATCCTCCTATGTCGTTTTGTCCCTACTACCTTTTCTCTTGCTTCTGTGTTTCCACATTTTGCTTCCAGCAAGACTTTATCTTTTCACCATATTCTATCTTGAGTTATTTTCTTCCCTTTATGACTTTTTACCAGCAGTTCCTTGATGGCATCTAATAATCAGTTTACATTCAAGTGTCTGTGAAGTTTCTTTCTGTTACTTGTTTGAATTGGAATCTGGCTGAGGTGTACACGTGGCGTTTGGCTGTTGTATCTCTTGTTTTAATTCTCCCATTGGTTTTTTTAAAACCAGACTTTGAGCCTCTATTTGATTTTCCCCTTTCCAGCATATGTGATATCTCAATTATGTGGCTAGATTCTTACTCAGAAAACCCTAATTTGATTTTTCTAGTTCTTCACTTCAGATTCAGAATAATTCTCCATTAGCAAACTAACGTTACATGGTGAATTTGAAAAAGCTAAGAAAAGATGCATGATATGAGACTTGTTTTTAAAAAATAAATTAGAGTAAAAGTGTATGAAAAGCTTTATATTTCAGAGGTTAATAAGATTAGTATTACATGTGATAATTTCTGTTCCTAAAAAGTTCTGTGAGAAATTAAATTATGTAATGAAATCCTATATGTTTTATGACATTTATATACCCCTCTAAGTGCAGGGCAGAAGAAACATAAATATTATTGAGAGTTATATTTATTTCAGAAATGTAATTTTGAACCCTGTTTTTTAAACCAGCTTAAATACCTGGGAGTTACCCAGGTTCCCAAAGGAAGAACTGATTTAGACTTAGACGTCTCGGGAAGCCAAGAAGCGGTTCCTTGTGAGGTCTCCCCTACCCTGCTCAAGGACCAGGTGCCAACACTGAGCGCAGTGATCTGCTGCCCTCAGCCATACGTTCGATATTATCGGGCTATAAACATTCTTGCAGTCGGCCAAGCCCAAGTCTGAAAACCGTCCCTATCGGCTTCACTCAACTCTGAGTACAGAGTTATCAGGCACCATGTTCCCTTTTGAATTTCTTAAGGTCTCCAAAATAGTAAGGTGGATACCGTGGACATCCCATCTCCCAAATGGACAACATCATTTGGGACCCAGAGAGTTAGTTGAAAGGAGATCCAAAAATTCTGCAATTCTAGAATGAGAAACAGCAGGAGCACTAGCATGATAGATGCTCATTTTTTACTATAAATATTGTCAGCAAGAGACACCAACGTATAAACATGGAAGAGTCTCCCTTCAAAACTAAATGAATGCCCTCCTCGAGGGGTTTTATCATTCACTCCATAGCAGTCTTTTTTCAGCCACGCCAAGAATTAGAAGTAGAGACAAAATGAGTGTTACGGTAACAGAACCTCTGTTGCAAAAGTCAAGGAAATAAGCCCTCTTGGACCCCTCCCTCTGAGTTTATAACACTGGAAATTACATATTCTTTGCTTACAGGAAGGGTCCCTGTAGTAGATAACATTGTCTCTTGAAATAGAGTTGTTGAAAAATGAAGAAATGACTTCAAATAAGGATCTTCAAGGGTTTTTTCCCTTGTATGTTTACACACAGCTCAAAATTTTATGTGTAACAGCAATTTTTTTGAGACTAATGGAAAACTGTTGAAAAAAATGTTGGGGAGAATATAAAACTTGGTATAATTTACTGTAGAGAAAAATCACAAAATGGAAAACATATTTAAACGTCTTTCACGGATACATTATTTCAGATTTGAAATTCTAGAAGTCTGATCTGGATGTTGGACTCCTTGTTCTCAAACATGAACTTAACGTAGTTGTAATCTTCAGAGTGCGGTGCTTGATATTTATGGCAAAGAGCCTTTTCATAGAATATTACAGAAACTCTTCATAGTATGTGTTTAATAGACCAGTTTGGTTTGGCATCAGCTTGACATAAACTTTTGGTTATCCAAAGCCCTTAATTGCTTTGAAGTAAAAGCCCAGTGCTGCTCTTTTTTATTAAAATCATGTTTTTTCCTGTTATTGTGGTCTATTTTGGAAGACTGAGTTGTGATTTTTGCATATGTTCTACATAATGCCTCATTAGCAAAAAATCTTGTATCATTTACAAGTAGCCTGAATGTCTGTGTTGTTTTGAACAAAAATCCATATTAAAATTTAAACAATATAAAAATGCACATTTTCTGCTTATTAAAAAGGCCGTCTTAAATTAAATGCAAAGCCGTAACCAGTGAACACATGTACATGAACATTAAAATCAGAATGATTTTACCTTTTATTGACTTTTTCAACTCCAAAAATATTTAGACTCTCTTACCAAATGTGTAACTAGTTTGTACTAAGTTGTTTGTGTTTTTTTTTTTAAGTAAATGTTAGGGTGTTTACCTTTTTAATTAAAAATCATGTTAAGTGCCATAATGTCCCCGTGGAGGCAAGTTCCCTCATAAATCTTTCAGGCACTCTGTCTTCCCCTCTTTTCCTCTTCGTTGGTTGACAGAAGACCGTCAAGTCTTAAAACAGAGAGGCCCCTTGCAGGCGCGCCATGTGAGAAACAACAGGCTTCAGGGGCTTCTCCCGTGCACAGACACAGGATTCCTTCCTCCCACCGTGCCCGGTTTTTCATTCGAAAAATTGCAAGCCTCCAGAAATGCGAGGCGCCTGTAGAGTCAACACCCACCTGCCTCTCACCCCCTTGCATATTTGGGAGCGACACGAACCTCTTCTGCGTTCTGCGCACCTGCCCCTGAGCCCTTTCCTCCCTCCCGACCCCCCAACCCTCCCCTCCACCGCACCCACCGCCAGAGACAGAGACATAGAAACAATGCGTACCCCCTTGGATATATAGAAAGAGATCAAAGGGTCGATGGAGAATTTGAGACCTCTGGGCACATGTCATTCCCCCTTTTAAACCTCTGCATATCCTCTGGGGACAGGGACACCCTCCTGCTCGGCCACAGGGCACCTGGGACATGACAGGGGAGAGAATACGGTAGCGCCCGCTCGTTCACTGTCGTGCCCATGTTTCCCAACCAACCCAGTAATTCCTTTTATTGCTTTTTTTTTTTAATAGCTGTTTTGTTTTGCTTTCTTTTGATGTAGTCTCCAATCAAAGGTTATGTACTTAATCGTCACCTCTTTTAGGGGTCCTTTATTCTAGAGTGGCTCCCCCAGTCTTTTCCAACCCATTGATAGTTGTTTGCATAAGGTCTCTCAATTTCGATTTGTGCGATTGCCCAGTCCCCTCATTTCGAGGCCGCATCTGGTTCTGGGATGGAAGGGTTTCTGGGGCCAGGGATAACCAGGCAAACATTATCATTACAAGGGAGGTGACACCTGTCACTTCTTGTTTTCATGTCACCAAAGTTCTTACTGTTGTTTTGAATATCTTAGAATTTGCCCGGTGAACAATGTCATAGTCAAAAAACCAATTCTGTTATCCCTGTTTTTTTAAATTACTTATATTAACTAACCTCTTTCTTTGATAGCAATTCAATGTATTTTCCCAGCAGTTTATATAAACCATAGAAATTGTCCCGATGAATAATAATTAGTGTATCAGTGCACACATGAGAGCAGAGGGAAAGTTAAAAATTAGGAAGTTGTTGGAGGAAAGAAGCAACTAAAAAGGGCGGGAAGAATTTATCTCGGAACTGGATTTGGTGTTAACTCCCTCACTTAAGGACTCTGGCCAAATTCTTTAAGATGAAGAGACTGAAATGGCTCACTCCTTACTTTTTAAATAATAGCTGCTCTTGTCCCTAGGAACCTGTGTTTCTGTATGATTTTGACTACTAAATAAGCCGTATTTGTTCATGAAATCAATTTGTTCTCTTTTTTTCAGTCAAAGGCTTTTATCATGCCAATCATTGTATCTGATGCTTGTGAAATAATCCCGTTATTGCACAGATTTGGTATAATTCTATCAAAAAATAAAAACAGTAGAAAACTCTAAGTTCACTTTCCCAGCTTAATTGCTAATAAATCTGCATTTCCCACTGGACTTCTTGAAATATTGTGTATAATTCTCAGGTTCTCATAACTAGTTGGAATCTGTTAAACTTGATCCTCAAAGTGGCCCCCAAAAGATGAACCCAAACGAGTGTTGGGTTCTTCCGATCCCCACGGGCTCCTCCTGGCCGCGCTCCCTCCATTTCATAGACCATGACTGTCTGCATAACCGGCCCCTCTGCTTGTTGAGGTGAGAGCAAGAAAACATTCAGGTCTGATTTATATTTGACCCAACACCACAAGATATGATCCAGAGTCAAATAAACATACTCTGACAAATTTTTTCTTGATGCACTCTTAAATCAGGGAGCAATATTTTTACCCACGAACTCATTTGGCAGTTTTGAGCAAAACCATCACCTTTCTCAGTGATTTTAATGATACCTCATTGAATTTACTAGCATCTTTCTGTAACCTACTCCGAAGTGCCACCTTTCCAGCAACTGTCTTCTGTGTTTCCATAAAGAGCTGTCGGTGGCCTTCATTTCTTTCAACCGTACTCTTTAAAAATGTTCACCGCAGTTTAAAAACAAAACCCAAAGATTTTCCTTTAATTCTAAGGTCGTTTTCAACCTATCCCCCAAATTCAGTCCTCCTAAAGCTATTACTCAAAAAGAGCCTCATCATTCTCTCTCATAAATGTTTCACTTAGCGACTTTCCAGAATTTCTTAACCTAGCTTCTGTATTCTAAAACCTTCTCATCTTCTAAAGGGTGTTACAACAATTTTGACTTGAAACTCAAGAGGCTTTTTTTTTAGCGTTCGTACTCCTTACTATAGCATGGAATGAAATGTTTACGAGGGGCTGGGGGGGCTGGGAAGGTGCTGGTAAATGGCGAGTGATGGGTGAGAGTAGAGGGAGTTGTGTGCCTGGGGAATGAGGTATAAGAAGCTTTCACTAGAGCAGAGAGTTTTGCCTCTTAAGCTTTCTTATTAGACTATACATTACATAGCCCCACTGAAAGTTTTTCCTTCTCCACTGTATCTGAGGTTTTAAGTTTCTGGATTTATTATGGCACCCAGTAGCAAGCTGGAGTCAAGTGTTTTCAAGACTTCCATTAGAAATTCCTTTTACAGAGTTTATTGCTTGACTGTTTCAAATTATATGAGAGAAACTTGGCACACAGGTTGTTGAACTGAATTACTTTTTTTCAACATAAAATCTAATTTATTTCAGTTTGTTTTTAATCTAGGGATGAGCCAACAACTCTTCTCATGGTTTTAGAAGATTTGATCATAATTTTAAATAGTTTTTCTGTTAAAAAAAAAAGGAAAGAAAGAAAAGAAAAGGAAAAAAAGAAAGCAAAGAGGCTGTATTTTCCAATTTAATTGTGCGTAGATTTTTCAAAATCCTTGTTGAAAATTTTGAGAAATTAATTTTTACAAAGCACATAATTAGTATGCTTGATGTGTTTGCACATCATCGCACCACGTGTAATGCAGCATGTGTGCACGGGTACATGACTGGCAGAGCTCATGTGTTTTTACTACACATTGTTCTTCCTGTTGGAATGTCAACATCCTCAAGATTGGAAATTCCCGTCATGGTGCAGGGAAACGTTAGGTGGGGGCCACTTAAATTTTGCTTATAAAATTATCCCTATCTCTGTTCTTCAGAGGAAACCAACCTGAAACTTCCTCCTCATACGGAAAGGTGTAGGATCGGCCACTGAACGTTGCTCTGGCCCTCTCCTTGCCCTCAGCTTCCTGCTCAGATTCCTTGTCGTCATTTTGTGGCGTCTCCTTCCCTCTTTCTCTCGCTTCCACCCTTGTTCATTTACTATATTTCATCTTGCAAAAAAATGTTGAGTTGAGCTTCAGACTCGAGATGATTTTTCATTGTACACCTTCCTGAAGCCAGACCACATTCATCACATTTTGATTGTAACTTTTATGTAGTTTATATCATTGTACTTGAGCTTAACAGCAAGTCATCCTTGTCCTCTCGGTATTACCCTCAAGCCTGTTCAATCATAATAATGACTATAATGTATAGCGCCCATAAAATTGACGCTTAAAAATAATTATTAAAGACTTGCAGGTGTTGCATTGTCCCAGAATGGGTGGACTCTGTAGTGAACTGACTTTATTTAAAGTACCACATTATTATCGCTGTTTTCTAAATCCTACTTATGTTGTATTTATGCACATTTTGTTGGACACGATTAGTATCATCTACTAAGTCATTTTTCTTGGCATTCCTTTGAAAAGTTTCAACTGCAAGGAGTTCAGGAAAGTATTCAAGAAAATATTCTCCGATTAAACCACTAAAAGTTTTTGAAAGATACTTAACTGGTCTTTGCCCGGCCAAGTCAATTCGAATTTTACTTTGATCCTATGTGGCTAGCGGGCTATTGGGGCTTAATTCTATGTTAAGTTATCGTTATTATTCAAAGATGTCTGATATGCACATATAGCTGTATCTTCTTGAGAATAGTAACATACTTAAAAATATAAAAAACAGTCTCAGGGATACTGAAAATGTAAGAAATTGTTGGAGTAGTATTCTGTCCTTCCTTATCAATAAATGTCACTCGTTGTTAACGTGTTAGACTTAAGTTCTAGGGAGAACAGACAAATGATACTGGGGCTTCTAGATGTGAAACCATTTAAAATGTTTTTCCTTCGTATTGTTTTTAGTGAACAAATAAAATACTAAGGGGAATAGTGAGTCTTCTGTTGAACGTGTGCTTAGAACTACTAGATAAAATGTTTTAGACACATAATTATTTTAACATTGTGTTAAGACTGTACCTTGGGCCAGGTCCAGGTTCTTGGACTTGTTTATCTTCTGTGTGAGGACAACTAACTGTCTGATGCCAAAATGCAATGAACTTTCAAATATCAAAGAGGAAAATTAAGTATTTCAAGTCCTCAGCTGGTTTACAGATGTGTGAGCTTTGTAGTCCATTTTCTGGTTCCAGTAGGGCATTGTGACAATTTTTCCAATATGTGCACGCTAGATAAGTTTTGAAAGTAAAATGTCGTACTTCAAATACTTAAATAAATGTCTGAATTTCAAATTTATATATTTATTTTTCTTAAAATAGGGGGCCTAAAGCTGAGCTTCACAACTTAAAAAATATTTTTAGATATAAAATGTATTAAATTAAGGAACATTCTCTGTGAGGAAAATAAATGCCTTTTGAAAACAGGTATTCATTTAGATCTCTGATTAACCTTTAACAAGATCTTCCTGTTAAATTCGACATTTGCTTTAATCTCACTAGGAAAAATACAAAATAGTATTGCCGCATATAGAGTTTCTATATACCCTGTGGACGGTAAATGATCTCTCACAGCTAAAGGCACATCTGCAACATATTTAAATGCCAGCTTTGGGCATTATTAGTATAAAATGCTAAGTCACTTCTTTTGGAAATATTTTGAAACGTTTAAACTCCAGGAGGAAACTCCAATAAATTGTAATCTTATGATACCATTTGTTTTGAGGGAGTGGTAGAAAGATGAGTGACTATGTTGCATATTTTTCATTTAGGGGAAAGTAGTATGATAGTTCTTAAAAAAAAAAAAAAAAGTCTGAAGTTTGGTGGGCGAATGATGACTGTGCTTTAAGCTGACGTCCTCTGGACCTTCTTTCAGAAAGCTGTGACATGATTTTAAAGCTTTGCTCTCATCCTTGTACAGGTGACCCAAGTGTGAGGTTTCCTTCAGACTAAGAGTTCAAGAGCAATTATTGGTTGGTTGTAAATAATTTAACCCCAGTATATAATAAACAAAAACCATGGTGCCTTATCTAAAAGTGTGTAAACGTTTTCTGCGTAGCATTCCATGAAAAGTTGTGATTCCACCATAGATTTTTCTCTTTTACCTTGCCCTTCTTTGTCTCTCTTTTTCTTAACTCCATCTTTGAAGGTCAAACATTCGGGACAATGTAGAAATGATTAAACTTCATAAGCAACTCGTCGAAAAAAGCAACGCTCTGTCAGTAATGGAAGGAAAATTTATTCAGCTTCAAGAGGTACGGTGATAATTTATTTTATGTGATAACATGTAGGTAAGAAATTTCAAAAATTGTGTTCAGGTTGTATTTGTTAGGTAAAAGGTCATAACACTAAAAAGTCATTTTTAAGCAGTGTTCTTTTTATTCTCAAGTGTGTTTCATTTCATAGATTGTCTTTTAATAACTCAATAACTAAAGAAATAACCAACTGCTTAGACTTTTTATAAATATCTGTGTCATCTTTAAATAATAACAGATTTATCATATATCATCTCATGCCAAGAAAATTTATTTTTAACTCCTTTTATGGGAATTTGTTATGAGCACACAGCACTGAGGTTTAGATGTATTTGCATAGATCTTCAGTTCTGAGTACTTATGAAACATCTAAGATAGATCAAAGTCATAATTATGTTTTGTTAAGTCTTTCTTTGATGTGGTGTTTTGTTTTGTTTTATCACTGCCATTATCAGAAAATATTTGAGTGCCTGTCATGTCAACTACCATATTTATTTTAAATCTTAGCCATTCAAGTTGACGATACTCTTCAGCCCCGTTGCTGTTTTAACAAAAACTACTACTCCACAGGAATGTGCCATCAGAGGACTCCTATTTATTGGCACTGCATAATTAACATAGGTTCTGGAACTAATGAATTCCAAAACATTCCAGATGAGCAGAATTTATTTTAAGCAGTACTTTCTTTGAAGTACTGAGACAAAGCAATAAATTTGTGCAAACCATAAGGTCATCTGAAGCCTAAATTCACTTTTGAATTAGAGAAATATCTTTAAACTATTCTCTGGGTAGCGTTTTCTACCTTGCGGGAACCTCCTTAAATGCCATATAAACATCTTCCATATAAATATGAGTTTAGAAAAGCGAGGCTAATTAGAGAGTGGGAATGATAGTCCTCTCTGCAGACCGAAAAGAGTAAAAATACATGTCATTGAAAGCCATTTCTAAAATGAGTTTTTGAGAGGAGTTAAAAAGTGATTTTATATTCTGTCATCACTCTCACCATTTTTGTTCCCACTTAACAGTGACCCCAGGTATTTGTTGAAATACCACAATGACGAGGGTCTGCTGTCACGCAGGTACCTCTTTGGGGGTTTGACACAGGGTAGGGGTTTGAAAGATTCAGAACAAGGGATTCAATGAGGTAGGCTGCCCAGAGAAAACTGGTTAAAGTTAAATGTCATGCAGATAACCAAGATTAATAAAAATTTGGTCTCTAGTAGCTAAATAGCCATTTTTCTTTTAATGAGGAACTTCAGTAGAACTTAATCGATTTTCACTAGCAAACGAGGCATCACATGCCATGGTCATAATGGTTTCTATGAAAAGACTTTAATGTAATCCTTTTTTAAAAAAAATTTTTAGAAAAATATGCGGTGCTTAAGTATATAAAATGGACTTTAAAGCATGTGCATAAGGATGCCATTTTAAAATTTAAGAAGAGTTTGTAACTATTTCACTGAATTGAATATTTTAAATTAAAGATATTAAAATTAGAAGCCTACCCTGAGACTGTTTAATGGTGGCAACTGTTGAACGTCTGTGGTCAGCACTGACTCTGTCCCCATTTTAAGATAGCGTGTCCAACCTCTGTAACCGCAGCGAAAAGAAAACAAAAAAATTGCTTAAACAAATTTTCTTAATGGTCATTCTCAACAACTCAAAACCCAGGAGGAAATACAACTCAAAACCCAGCGGTCTGCACTTTGCGATGCCTGCTGAGGCGACCTGGTGTCTTCCACACGGCACGCAGAGGTGGCGGTGTCTGTGGACCCCGCACCGTCGCCATGTGGGGAACAACTGCATGATGTGACCGCCCGTCAATCCACCTCTGGAACCTAATCATTCACAGCAGAATTCAAAACTAATTTTAAAAAATTTTGGTTTTTAGAAGCAAAGAACTCTCAGGATTAGCCATGATGCCTTGATGGCAAATGGGGATGAGCTAAATATGCAACTCAAAGAGCAGCGCCTAAAATGCTGCAGCCTTGAGAAGCAGTTGCACTCCGTGACCTTTTCTGAAAGAAGAATAGAAGAGGTAAGCGCCCGCCAAGTTTAGTTGTTCGTTGCATTGACACTTTTCCGGAATTGTTTAGAAAAACTTAATAGTAACATTGCAAATAGTATATTTTAAAATCCTATGCTACACACATGACGCCTTGAGCACAGCACCACATAGTTGTTAAATATATTATGTGCATGATAAGTCAGTGCTTAAAAATGCTTGCAAATGTGCTAGGATTCAAAATCCTTGAAGACAAAGAAAATTGAAACTGATGCTACATTACCTGTGGAACTTAACGTCCTCAGCCACAACCACATATTAGTCACTTGAAATGCCAAAACAGTGTTAAAGGAATATATCTGGTTCTGAGGAGAATGTTCTGTTCTGCAATATCAACAATTTTGAGAAACTATCCAGGTTGGTTTTTTTGGGTTTTTTTTGAAGTTGTTTGAAAATCCACTTTCTTGTTATTATTGCTACTTATGTCTCCGGCCACTACCATCTTTTTCTACAGTGTGCTAAATTTGTTCTGAAGGAGAATGTAAACGAAATAAAACACCTACATTCTGTCCTGTTCCTGGAAGAATCTTGTACATATTGTCTCATTCTAGCAGCCAGAAGAGATTTTTGAAAATGGAAATGAATTGAAAGAATACTCTGATCCTTGGGGAAAAGTAGCTTAAAAAGCACACTGATGAATAAAACCTTATAATAAATACTAGAAATAAATATAGAGAGTTGCATTTTAATCATAAAGATGGAATTATTGCACCATCTTTATTTCTGATAATATTATTCATTGGGATAAGCCAGGGTAAACCATTTTATTCATTCATTCATTGATTCATTTATAAGATGTGCTACTGGCTCTTTGTAAATTCCAAGTAACACGAGAAAGTGTGTCTTCAGAATAAATAGTGATCAGCACAATTTGTTTGAACCATGAAGCAAAAGAAACGTTAATCCTTTTATTTTTTCTTGTGGGCCAATTGGAATTTAATACAAAATGAGTATAATGATGGAATTCATCAGGGAGGAAAGCAGAAAATATTATGTTTCTCCAGACTTAATAGTGAGCTTTTACACATTCTTTATTGAGTTCTGGCACATGTTCCCATGAAGCAGTGCATACGTTTCTACTTAATTAAAGCAGAAATATTAATTTCATGTTTATTTAACAACTTGGAAAAAAATCAATGCTGAATTGAACACAGACAATATGAGCTTTCTAGTTAGCAGCTGCAGTTTAGAAATCAAGATTGAAATATGCTAGCCTCCTCCTCCTGCTTTTTTTTTTTTTTCACCCACATGTGGTTATATATGATAATCACCTAATGTGTCATTTTCTTTTTATTTTAGCTGCAGGACAGAATTAATGATTTAGAAAAGGAACGGGAACTTTTAAAGGAAAACTATGACAAACTTTACAACAGGTAACGATTGCAGGTATTCGCTCATTCTCTTGTTTGAGATCTTTTTTTCCTCAAAGCACTGGATTCAGAAGACCTAATATTGACTTAAAAATTAGTTGTGGAGATAGCAAGAAATAATGTACATGTTATAATAGACAAATAAGCTTTTGGGGGGCGTTCATAAGCTATTTAACCCGAGCAGTTGTCTGTTACTAAGAAAACTGCTGTAAGCTCACAATCATCTGCTGTAAGCTCACAAGCCCTGTGCTACACACTCTCATAGGTCATTACAAAGTCCTCACGACAGCCTTGAAATGTAGGCATTGTAAATGTCTGTCTTGCAGATAATGAAGACAGAAAGTAATTTGCCTGCACTCTTAGAGCTCGGCAGTAAAAGAACTTGTATTCAAACCTCGTGATTTCTCTCCAAGCCCATGTTTCCTCCCCTGGACTCCCCAACATGTTACCTGAGAGGGTTTCTGTGGGCAAAGTAACTACCAGTTGTCTCTGTTCCTTAGAAAGGGAAGACAGGCATTTTTTTTTACTCAAGATAAATTTTAAAGTGCCGCTTCCATTTTGTTACTTAATCTGCCTCCTAATTATGGTATTTTAGAAATTAATACCTTCTGTACTATTAGAAGCAAAATTCTGTTCCACAACTAAGTTGAGTTAGTGATACAGCTATTTCTGGGGTGGGGTGAGGAACGTATGTGTATATTTCATTATGCTACTGATAAATGATAAATATAAGCTTGCATGGAAGCAAATTGAATGTGTGTTGAAATACATATGTCAAAGTTTGTACTCAACAGTTGCTCCTGTCAGTCATTACTGAAATTTCAAGAAATAACCATCTGATCTATAGATAAATCTTTAACTTTTTAACTTAGGTTTTATGTTTTGTTTTGAAACTATCTTTACATTTTGTAAATTACACCTACAGGGTGTAGGGAGAGGCTTTTATTTTGGCCTACCTTGGGAAATGTACCTTAGTAACATTAGGCATCGTTCCCGTGGGGTGTGTCACCTGTGTCGTTCACCTGCTGGTGTTGGTTACCTTTGCGCGGTGGCTCAGTGCACTAAAGTACTTAGTACCAGCCGTACGACCAGGTACCTATTTAAATAATCTCTGGTGCTATGTGGCAAGAGGAGCCCGGCCAGAAATCTTTATGTGGGATTTGCCATGGACCCTCTTCCAGGTCATTTCATCCCAGTCTTTGTTCGGGTCTCTTATAATTTTCAAAGAATTTCACATGGGCTAAATACAAGGAAGTCAGTGCTTATGGCCATTGAACATTTTCTGCTTTCCCCCCAAGTTGAGGATGTACTGGACTTACATTCTTAGAATAAAAAACATTAAACATAACTGGGAATAATGAATAAGTTGAATTTTTTGAAACACATGTTTTTCTCATATTTGCTTTATCACCATGAAAAACTTTATCTTTCCATATTAGAAGATGATCTAACTCTGGCTTTGAAGGGCTTTTTTAAAGATTTTTATACTAGGGCTCTATGTTTTTTTACTGTCACATTAAAAACAGGCTTCATTTTGCTGCTTACACTTGAATTTTGTGTAAGTGTCTGCAAGTTAAATGTGAGTAATGAGTGTCAAAACACTTGATGTCAAAAAAAATTAATGTCTCATAAGCAGAGAATACAGCAAGTGCGCATAATAGTAAATCCTGTTAAATTACAAAATTCTGCAATACAACTTTTTAACTAATAATGTTTTCAGAAGCATAACTGGAGAACTTCTATAGGAATCAGTACCACTCCAGATTCTTTGCAGCTCTGTGTCTCACAGCTCGGTTCCTCCTCATTGCCAACAACTAGTGCTCGTCAGAAACTGCATGTACTCCCTGTTTGGTTAGTCATAGTGATAGCATGTTTTGTAAAGGAGAGCATTTGTTTGTTATTCAAAATTGGCTAGTTTTCAGGAGAAAAACATGATTTGCAGATTGCGTCCTCATCTTCCTTTCTCGGATGAAATTTTGAATGTGTTTATTACTTGACATATGACATATTAGAGAATGTTCTGGTAAGATAAAACCCTCATGATAGGATTTGGCATGAGCCTTTTTAAATAGGCTAAGACATGTTTGCTACAATGCCAAGAAATAAGTATAACTTTAAGAAATGTTTATTAAAATTTCAGAATAAATTTTTTTGCAATTAAATCTAAAGAGAAATCTAAATCTAGATTATGATATAGTAAAGCTGTGTCCCATCTTCAAAGTTAGTGTTATTTCAGGATAAAGTAGCTGATGACTGCAGTGATGCGTCTACTGTGATGTGCATGAGTCACCTGGAAAGCTTATCAAAATGCAGGTTGTACTCCCTTCGCAACTGCTCTGTCTGCCCACTGGCCCCCTCACCTGCCACCAACCGTCCGCTTCACATTTAGTCAATCTGAGGTTCAGTTCAGAGAATCTGTTAAAAGTGATTTTAAGATATTAACTGCCTGAGAGGAACTAATTTATTGCCCATTTGTTTTTTTGTTTGTTTGTTTGTTTTGTTTGTTTTTAATTTATACAAGCACTGGGTACAGTCAGAAGCGCGGGAGGGTGAGAGAATTCACCAGAGCCAGAGCGGGGAGCAGAGCAGGCAGAAGGACCGAAGTGCACTGCTGAGGGGAGCAGCGGGCGCGGCAGGAGAGGTCTGAGCACCTTGTGGGAACCTCGCCGGTGGCTGGGGATCGAACCGGCGCTGCAGAGGCTGCAGGCAGCTTCGCAGCCCAGCGCTCAACCACTGTGCCACCAGGGGAGGCCCTGCCCATTTGTTTTTTAAAAAATAAAAAGGTTGATTTAGTTTTTGAAAATATTAATTATTTTAATAATTGGGTGAATCCAGTTTTTACAACATGATAATCATCTCATGTCAGTATCTAAGGAGCCTGGCCGACCCCCTTAGCCTCCGTGCCTGTTTCTGTGAAGGGAGTGCCTTCCCCTGCGGTCTTTCAGGAATCATGAATGCCGTACAATCAAATAAATACGAGCTCTTCGTGCTCCCCGGAAGCCAGACTGAGCCCATTTGTTGCATCATTTTTCCTTCCCCAAGTGAAATATCCCAAAGTAAATACATATTTAGCGTTTGTTAAACCCTACTAAAGTCCCGATGGGTTTCTTTGTTTTTGGTTTGATCTTACTCTTGCCCGTCTCTCACATCAGGATGCCCTTGAACTTGGGAACAGGGACTTCTTCTGTAAGAACGAAAACCTCAAGGTGGTGAAAAATTCTTGTTGATCAAGGGCATGTACGTACAGGATGCTGACCCATGTCTGCAGTGGACAGGCCAGTGGCCACAGCCACCAGTGGGCATCCCAAGTGCAGAATGACATTATCACTTTCATAATGAAATCTGCGCGAGGACCAACTGTGACACCCCCCTCAGCTGTCACTGTAGGCAATATTCAAAAACATTTTCATGAATAAAAGGTTCTCAAAGACTGTTCTCTATGCAGATTTAATCATGTACACAGTCTTTACAAAGAAAATGGAGCCAGATGTGGTTCACCATTTATAGTTACACAGATGGCTCCAAGCACAGAGGAATACAGTAAATTCAAAAGGAATTCCTCATGAAACTCCAGTGGAATGTAATCCTAAATTTAGAGGGAAGATAGCAGAGGACTAAATTCAGATTGACTTATGCTGATTTACACTAGTATTTTGTGGGTTTGGAAAAACCAGGCTGCTAAATTGTTCTTAATTTAAACACATACAGCTTCTGATGTTTCTGCCAGATTAACTGTTGGTGATCTTTTTGCTGGTACTAATGCTATTGGAACACTACTGTTTCTAATTTTTGGCATCTGATAGAATGTATGGTTGTGCCTATTTCATCATGCTAATTTTTTTCCGGGTAGTACATGTTTTTAATAATGAAAGACACACACACACACACACATACGCTCACATACATGCATATATATGTGTGTTTTCAAAATATGTATTTGACCAGATGCAGAAATTATATGTATTCTTAAAATGTAAAGGAATAATCTTTAGTATTTGAAGTTCCTGTTTTATTTGGATTTAAGGCTAAGCCATTGTACCTTTGATAAAATTTACTTAGAATACTTGTATACAAGATCCAGGGCTTTTTTAGGGTTCCATATGTGAAATGATAGAAGAAACAGATGTCCTATTTAAGAGAAACTTCTAGAATTCCATTTATTTTTTAAGGCCATGTTATCTTAAATGCACCAAAAACAATATGCATCCTAGAAAAGTATCTCTTTTGGAATAAAACCTTAAGGTTACCTGGGACTAACATTAAGGGCAATTTTCAGCAACACGTTTCTTTTCCTTTTACTTTATCATCAGTCCAAAGCCAGATTTTATAGATTTTTGTTTCATTTGCTGGGTTTAAAATAAGTAGAGTAGAAGGGTCAAAGCTGCTGATAATTATTCAGTCATATCAAGCTTCACAGATAATAGTTTTCTGCTGCAATACAGATCAAGATCCGTTTTTCTGAAACCTGGGTGTCACCTGGGCAGCTTTATAAAAATATGAATTCCTGAGCCCCAGAAGCTTCACTTTTCAATCTACCTGCTTGTTCTTAGTGCGGCTGACCTAGCACCAGGGTTTAGTTTAGGCCAATACTGGGGGGGAGCCATTAGCATCAACCAGTGTTTCGCGTGAACCTTCTATAGACCGCTCAGTTACCTGCAAATGGCTCTCCCGGTGTGCTGGGTCTCAATCATTACTAGATTTTAACAATAATTTAAGTTCCTGCACTTTCATTAGGAATAGTAATTCTCTCTTTTCATTCTTAGCAGCATTTCCTTATCAGATTTATACCCCAGTCACGTTACAAATAAAATTTGCTTTGTTCCTTAGGACAAAAACTACATTCTCACCACTGCTTTACGTCAGGATTGCTATCTTATAGTTTAATATGCTATTATTTTCTTGCCATTATTTTGTTACCATGTTATTATCACAGACTATTTGAACGTTTCAAATTCTAGAACAAAAGATCAGGTGGAGAGTCCCTTTTCTCTGTGTTAAGAGAGTTTGGATATGGGAGAGAATGGTCTTGTCCGACGCTGATTGCTGAGGTTTGAGACTGGATTCCTCTGGACTACGTACAGTATCTGAATTCCTTTAGTAGTCCCACAAAAGCTGCACACTGCCAACTTTTCTGACTTTAGAGCTCTAAATTAAGGCCAGTTCCTTTGCTCATCCCACAAGCTCTTTCATGTTCGCTAACCGCAGCCTGAGAAAGGCGCCTCGGTTTCAACAGCAGCAGACCAGCATATGTTTACTTAATTCCTGAGACATGATGACAGTGGTCTCTGTGCCACTAAAAGCTTTTCTCTTTATTATTTTCGGTTGAAGCTGATTTCCAAGCTCTCCTCGCATGTCACGTGTGTTTTGCAGTGCCTTCAGTGCTGCCCACGAAGAGCCATGGAAGCTGAAGGAGCAGCAGCTCAAAGTGCAGATTGCTCAGCTGGAGACCGCCTTGAAATCTGACTTAACAGACAAAACTGAAATCCTTGACAGAGTAAAAACTGAAAGAGGTACCTCTAAAACCACTACTGACTTCTTCATTTCAGACCTCTGTGTTATTCGGTGGTGTTCACTGAGTCCAGCAGGACTTAGCATGTGCACCTTGCCGTGGGGGGCGGGGCGTGCCAGTGTCTTAACAGCAGTCCAGTGTCAAGAATGTGTTGGCTGCTCCCAATGCCCCTTTGCTGTGCCTGGCCCACATGCCCGAGGAAGTCGTCTTCTCACGCTTATTCAGGTTGCTTTCACTTCTTTCCTTTTTCTAATTTGAGCTTTTCTTTATCCAACAGTCCAGCCTTTCTTTATCCAACAGTCCAGTGTTACAGACCACCAGTGTGATGGGCACTGTTCTGTGGATAAAGCGTTGAATAAAACAAAAGCCTTGCCCTCATGCAGCCTAAAGTCAGTCGGGAGAAGCTATAATAATTAAGTACAAATGAGATACGTCAGGTAGTGGCAAGTGGATTGGAGGGAAAGGCTGTGTAAGACGCACAGTGGTAAGGTTGCTGTTTTTGACAGGTCGAATTGGGAAGGTGTCTCTGATTATGAGGTGGTTAACTCTCCTCTGTGATGGAGAACTTAAATACCACCAGCTTTGTCAACATGTCCCTGCTCAAATCATAGTCATTAATAAGTTTCATGTCATGAAATTCTTGTCTCAAAGCATAAGATTTATAATTACAGTAGATGTCTGCTTTATTATAACATACATGCACATCTACTGCACAAGAGGGGAAATGAATCAGTTGTTTCTGAGGTTATATCCATTTGCTTATCCACTAAATAAACCAAGTGATGTGATTAATAAAGTTGCTGAATTTCCAATTCAGTTCTGTGCGAACTTTTAAAAGTTTAATGCAAACTCAGTTACAAAAATAATTAGGTATCTGCTCAGCGCACTAGACACTGATACAGGTCACAGTGCCATTATTTCATTAACTATAAGAAAGGTTTCCCCTCATTTTAATATTTCTGAAATTTCCATGCATCTATAAGTGATAATATTTTTAAATTATAGTCTGACCTTTTTTTTTTTTTCACATTTTAAGAAGCCTGAAATCTTATAATCAATGGAGTCTCAATTTTAATGAAACACACATGTGCAATATTTACTTGCTGCTGATTAAATTTTATGAGAGAATTATGACCTTTTTTTCTAGAAGATTGTGAGTAGAAAGAAATAATGACATGATTTCTGACCAGGTGGAGATTCAAAAGTTTCATATCAAAGATACAGAGTCCCTGATTTTGAAGAGACATAATGGATACCTCACCGGGTGTTTTGGTTAGTGTTTGCTCAGTAAATTCTTGTTCGCAGAAGTGGAAGTGCTCTGTATTTCCCTGTCTTCCAAAACCTGATATAAAATGATGCATTTTTGAAGGAAAGAGAAATGAAATGAACCTTTCTCATTTCTGTGATTTCTCTTTTCCTGAATATCAGAGATTCCAAAACTCTTCCTGAGGGGATAGAATCTTGGTCTTTTTTTAAAAAACCTGTTGTTGTTAAATTAATCCTAAGCAATCTTTTTAAATTATTAAAACTACAATTGCTAAATTATTTTAAGTCAACCAGTCCACGCCTCATCTTTTTTACTGGTTCTGTGGTTTTCCAGACATTTTTGAATAAAAAATAACTCATGTGCACTGGTTCTTACGTCTTTTCCAGATTTTTCTGAATAATAACAATAATTCACATACCCTGTGTTTTAAAAAAAAAGCCAGTAAACAAAAAATTAGAAAAAATCACTCAATCCCACAACCAACCCTCAAGATAACCACTATTAATATTTTTTTATGACTATCGTCCCAGAATTGTTTTTTTATATGTGTAGATATAATTTTGTCATGTCTTTTCTCACTGTGAAATCATCCCTGAAATATAAATATATATCCATACATCATCGTTTACAATGGCTGTCGTAGTTTTCCAGTGTGATGATATATACCATGGACTGGTCAACAATTGGTTAAGATTCATCTATTGATGAATTTTTAAATAACTTCATTTCCTTAAGTTTCATAAATATCTCTACACAAATCTCTATGTATTTGTGCAATAATTTTCTTAAGAACGATTGCTCGCAGTGAATCTTTATTTTCAGTGCATCTGTGATTTTAGTTACATTTGCTTGAATACCTGAAATTTACGGTTCTAATAATTTTAGTTTTTGTTTCTTTGTGAAAATGTTAACATAGATTATAGGAAAAATATTATAGCCTTTAACCATTTTTCCCCAGGGAAATGCTAAACAAAAAATTAAAATGGTCTATTGAAGAAAATCTTTCAATATTCAGAAAGTTCCTTTTATATTACAGATTTTGAAATTGTTTAATTTTTACTTTGAAGTCTCTTCACACATTTACCTTTCATGTATCAAGTGTTCTTTGCCAGAAGATTTTTCCCTGGCTTCTTGTAGTCATTCATCTAACTGGCAAATTATTTTTAGAGAATACTCACCTCTTTATTCAAGGTACAAATTAGTTTCAGATTGTGTGAATATGTGGGGAAAGGATATGTAAATGCAGTTTGCATTTGGTTAATGCTTAAATTAACTGCATGTGTTTAAGGGCTTGCTTTTGAAAGTTCCTTTCTATCTTTAGCTGAAATGCATAATTCAGCATAATGCATATGGTTATATTGATCACAGCTGAAGATATTAGCACAAAGGAGCTCTAAAAATTGTTTAGTTGAATTGTTCTCTGCACCCTGCTTATTAATGGTGTGCTTGACGAACATAATTTTAAAAGAGTGAAATGTTATCTCATTTGAATAAAATGCTGTTTAGATTAACCTGCTTTTTGTCAAATCATAAGGTAAGGGGGTGATTTTTCCTCTTGTACAGTGTGCTTTTTCATATTCTAATTCAGCAGGTCTGTATTCTCTTTGAACCATAGCACCTCCGTACTTTTTAAAGAGCAATGAGTTTGAGCCCCAAATAACAGTTTAAGAAAGGAAAAATATGGTAGATGATTCTATATAAAATTCAGTAGAGAACAAGTTACTAGTATTCCGTAATGTCTTCTCCCACTAATTCGTTATTTTTCCACTAAAAATGCCCTAGTTTTAAAAATTATCAGTGAAATGGGAACATAATTGTTGAAACAATATTCAGTAGAGGAAAAAACACTTGAATAAGTTTATTTATGCCCAGTAGCTTATCATTCTTAGGACCCTGCTCTAAAAAACTATACAGCAAAGAGAGAATAAAATACACTGTCTAGATGAAAAAGTCCTTTGTACTCCAGAACCCCTGGAAGTTCTGCTGCCTAGATAAACTATATTATCCTTTGGGTTTACATCTCTTCTGATTATATTTACCTTATTTTGTTACCTAATCAGTTCATCTAGATTTTTTAACCCAGTCAACATAAACTAAAGTTTTCCGCATTCTTTTTCTGCTCTCTCGCCAAAAAGCAAGCTCTCTAGCCCACACCCAAGGTCAAAAAAAATTTTTTTGGCTTTTTAATCTGCTAGCAAATGTGTGACACTGAAAACATCCAGGTTTCATCTACTTCTTCTTAATTGTGCTTTTTACAAATTTTACTTACATGTAATAATTCTACCTTGGGAGCACAAAGCATTTTGAAAGTCAGAAAAAAATATTTTTATATAAAATGCAGTCAGTGTGTAGATGCATTCTGTGAGGAACTCTTGGCAAAGGTATTGATTTGCTTTTTTTTTTTGAAGAAAAAGAAACAAAAATGTACAAGCTGAATTGTGGACTTACAATAAACATAAATCCTCGAGAGTAGGATGAGACTAATGGAGACATTTGGGTGACACGTTGTAGTTAGTCCACAGGGACCAGTCACTTAAGAACACAGACTGAAGAATAAATTTGTTTTCTTGGTGTTACGCTTTTTTTTCAAGTTGAACATGTATCATGCAGAGAGCGAGAGATTAGTCTCTTTATGGATTCACCGCCTTCTGTAGCTCCCCTCTGTACAATCCCCACAAGAATGAGTGGGTCATGGTGAGTGAGACAGGACATTACCTGTCTCCATCCCTTAGCAAGAGAGAGCTGAGTTCATGTCCTGCTAATTAATAGCATAAGCTCAATGAACGAAGAACATACCTAAGTTATTGTGGATACTACCGTGCACTGGTTGAGAATTCTTTTCTCCTACATTAACAGATTTGTTAAAAGTGTGGTTGATTATGTGATACTATGATAACATGATGCATTCCGAGTTGTTGGAGAAATTACCTTGTTTTAGTAAAAAGAGTTTATGCTGAGAACTCAAGGAAACCAATTTAAAAAACTAAAAGACAACGTTTTTTTTGCATGCTTTTCAGGACCCTTAATAAGTAAGTAAAAATCAAAGATTTGGAAACATATTTTCTGAGATATTTTAGATAGAGCATTCCTTTGAAGTCCCAGAGGCCACAATTTCCTTATATTAATACTGTGAACTTAAATCTTAAGTTTTTGATAAGCAAGTGAATCATCTGGTAGACACATGAGCGTGTTCATTTGTTCCTCATCCCCCCACTGCCTTTGTCTAGGTGCTAGCTCAATTTCCTTTCTTACCAGAACAATACTAGATCAAGCTCGGTATGTATCAGAAATCAAATTGATTTAAAATGTGTTCTTTGACCTCATTCTCAATTACCTTTCTAATTATGTTGACTTTATTTTTAAGACCAAAATGAAAAACTCATTCAAGAAAATAGAGAACTGCAGTTACAGTATCTGGAACAAAAACAACAGCTTGATGAACTTAAAAACCGCATGAAGTTTTACAACCAGGTGAACTATTTCTTGTTGAGGAAATAACACTACAAAGCAAAAGGACACGAATATATTGCTTAGTTGATATCAGGCAGCAGTATGCTCCGTGATGATAGTCTGCACAGTTAGGGTGTCTTTCTACTTGCCATCAGTATCTCGTTGTGAACGTCTGCGTGCTCTGTCTGTTACAGGAGGGTGACATTGATGCTGATGAATTGAGTGAAGCGCTGCTGTTCCTCAAGGTAACTTTCTTAACTTCACCAGGAATTGCACACCTCCATATAACTGTCTTTAGCATAACGATGACCCTGAGCTGTAACCCTTCTACTTGGAGAAATGAATTATTCAGGAAAGCAGTCAGGTGACATTTGGTTACAGCATATGCATATTTCATAATAACATCAAAATTACATTAAAATAGACCTCAACTAAAATATATATAAATTTAAAAAGAAAGAAAAGAAAAAAATAGACCTCAAAAACTCATAAAGCACTTTCTCCAACTGTAAACAAACATTTTACTTGTACGTGCCTCACTGAAAAGCCAATGGACAATTTTCTGTCCTAAGAGAACTGATGTACCCATTATCTTAGATAAAATATTGAATTATAAGAGTTATCAGAAGACAGCTATCAATTCTAGAATACTTTATTGTTTACAAGAAAACACGAAAATGCGATTCTTTCCTTTTAAGTCATCGCAGTGTTGATTTTAATCAAATCAAGAAATAGAAATAAATCTCCATGATTTTTTTCTTATGTCATGAAGCAATAAACTGTTTTTTATTTCTCTGTAATTGTTCCAAATGTCTATTCAAATATACCTTCTATATCAGGGCTGCTTTATTCCTGCTGGAAAATGGAAATATATCTGTTTTCAATTAATGATCGTCGTTTGCTCTCTCTTTCTCTCTCTCTCTCTCTCTCTCTCTCTCTCTCTATATATATATATATATATTAATTCACATGATTACATTTGGAAATCCTTGTTTCAGTAATAAAATATGGTTTGATTTTAGGCTCAAAAATCACAAAAAAATGGAGATCTCTCCTTTTTAGAGAAAGTAGACAGTAAAATTAATAAAGATCTAGAACGTTCCATGAGAGAACTGCAAGCAACTCATGCAGAGACAGTGCAAGAACTTGAAAAGACAAGAAACATGCTAATTATGCAACATAAAATTAATAAAGATTATCAGGTAATGTAATACATTAACTCGGGGAGACAGATTTCCTATAATATTCTACTCATGCTCCTTTTTCGGAGCAGCATTGTGTGTTATCATCTATTTATAATCTACTTTTGCGTATTATCACATACCTGGAATTCAGCCTTATAATGGGGTATTTGGAATAAGAGTCTTAAACACAAATAATTTTAATTGCCTGGTTTTAGAAAATAAACAGTAACAACGAACTCACCTTTCCTACTATTACCATATACTGCAAATGGGTATAGTTACGCCGCAGCTCTGCCATAACCACATTATACTAGCTTTTAACAAACGGGACAATTACCTCAATAAAAAGGAATGGGAATTTTGTCTATTTTACTTTGGATTTATGAACTGTGCCAAGCATAATTTTCTAAACGGTAAGCTGGTAAGCTGTTTGAGGTCAGGACACTGTGGTCTAAAGCTCCTGGAATTCCAGGATCTGGTAAGCGAAAATGGAGATAATCATAAGTGTTGAAACTTACCTCATTTCTAGATGGAAGTCGAGGCAGTGACCCAGAAGATGGAGAATTTGCAGCAAGATTATGAACTCAAAGTGGAACAATATGTTCATCTCCTCGATATCAGGGCTGCACGCATCCAGAAACTGGAAGGTACAATGTGCACAATTTTTTATCCACATTAACTAAAAGAATGGATTTTATAACAGTGGAAAATGTCATCCAAATCTACACTCACCATTTCTTTTTGCTCAGCTTTCTTTCCCAGTTCTTAACTGTAATAGTGATTTACCAAAAAGACAATTTTTATCTGCTGCTTTGCCATTCAAGAATTTTGAGTCATGCCCTACTCCTTTTCGAATTGAGTGTTGTAGGCAAGATTTCAAAGTACGTTATAAAGCCCTACAGACTAAATTTACTACCTCATTCCTAATTTCTTTTCTAAGCAAGCTGCGTGTCTCAGCCAAGCCAGTCTGCTTGCTTTGCAGATTCATCTTGCTTAGTTCCACCACGAACCCTCATGCTCTCCATCTGAACCTCCTCGCTCCACCAACTCCATGATACCCCACCCTGCTCCAGAGTCTTACTAAAGTCACTCTACTGCCAGAAAGCTAGCTCTGATTATTCCTCACCATTTCCATACTCGAAATGCCTATATAAGTGGTTTTCAAACTTTCACAAGTATGGAAATCACCTTGGGAAATTATCTAAAATGTAGCTTCCTTGGGCCCTACCCCTAGAGATTCTAGGGTCCCTGACTCTGTATATTTAGATATAACTCTAATCAATTCAGATGTAGGCACAGGACAGTGCTTTGAGAAACATTAACTCAGCACTGAACTACTTTTCCTCATGTACTCAAAAGAGTTATTTCGAGGTTAATTAAATGAATGCTTTTCAATGTTGGAGGTTTACCTTTTATTTTTTGCTGCAATATAAGTTCTGCAATGATAAATACTTCAACTCTGTTTCAAGTCCCCAACCATACAAGACTTACTTTAATGAACTATGTCTGCACTAATTTTACACTCTTAAAAATAAATGGTGATTCTCAATAGCCTTTTGTTTGCATGGGCTAAATTTTTGATATTTTTATCATTAATTATTATAAGTGAGAAATCTTAAAAATATATAAAGAAATACTAAAGTAATAGTAAGCACATTACATGTTAATGTAAATTACAGAATTTGTTTTTTTCAAAACTATACTTTCCTTCCTGAAAAGGTGGAAAACGATGTTGTTTTAGGATTTTTTTTAATTTTTCTAATTGTTTGACGTTTCTGGCAAAATTGCATAGTATCCTATTCAATACAAAGTGGCTGGGTCTTTATGTCAGCTTCTGCAGTTAGTCTGTTATGATATCACACATCATGTAGATTCTGAGAAACACCACTACACGCTTGAGAGAGAATAACAAGGTAAAGGTTAAATAATATCTTAGTATTGTTTTAAACATATTTCTGACCTCACAAGCTGCCAAAGAAATTTCATGGACTCTCAAGGGCTCCCTGACCTCACTTTTCTTTTTAAGATTTATTTATTTATGCATAGAAGAACTGGGGTGTAGGTCAGAGGTGCGGGCAGTGAGAGGATTCACCAGAGACAGAGTGGGGAGCAGAACAGGTGGATCCACTGAAACACACTGCTGAGGGGAGCAGCAGGCGAGGCAGGAGAGGTCTGCGCCATATGGGTCAGCTCCCTGGCCGGGGATTGAGCTCAGTGGTGACAGCACTGAGATGAGACTTAATCCCTAGACCACCGTGGAGGCCCTTCCGTGACCTCACTTTGAAAACAACTCCTCTAAATCGTAGGGCTCAGTAAATATCTTTACCTAACTCAACAGAGTTTTCCAAAAGTCAAAGAGCAGTTTGTACCTTTTATTTCAAGTAGCACTCAATAAAAGTGTGCTTAATGGAATTTTCCTGAGTAAAAAGAGGATCATAGAGTTTGGTATTTTCATTCCTTTAAATTCTTACTGAATCTTTACCAATGAATTTTTTTCTGTCCCCTAAATTCATTGATTCATTCCGTAAACATGACCAAACCCCTAAAGCATCCTAAGCAAGTGCTGGGCAGCGAGGATGAATATGGTCAAAAAGTTCAGGCACCGTCCTGAAGGCCCTCATGACATGTGAACAAGTGAAGAGTGCTGCTTTCCCATGAAGAGTGTGAGGCTCAGAAAATCAAAAGATGCCAAGGAAAGAATGCCTCTCTCCTGAAGATTCAGGGAAGACGCTACACAGTAGATGTGAGACAGAATTCACCCTTGAGTAAGAGGATTTCCAGGCAGTAGGTGAGGGAGGCAAAAAGGCCCTAGCTGCTGTTCACTTGGAAACTGCGTGGGGGCCTGTGTAGCTGGATGGCGGGACTAGGAAAGGGAGAACATCTGCAGGGGAGGCTGGAGAGAGCCCGTGAAGGGGCCCTGTTTGCCATCCTGAAGAATTTGAACCATTCGGAAATTTTTAAGGGCTAATATACCCAGGATTGCATTTTGGCCATTGAGGACAATGAGTAAATTTGAAGGAAGCAAGAAATTTAAGTTCCATCATAACCTAAGGAATCAACACTGGGAATATAAGTAGGGTCAGTGTAGATAAAGAGGACAAAGACAAACCTGATAGTCATAAGAAAAAGCATAGAGTGACAGTGATGCTATAGATGTGGGGAGAGGAAAGGAAAAAAGACGAGGATGACTGAATCCCGCTCAGGCAGCTGAATGAATGCTAATGCCATCGCTTGAGAGTCACAGTACAGAAATAACTAGATGAGAATATGATACATTCTGTTTGGGTTTTATGGAGTTTGAATGTGCCTAGGGGATATCTAGCTAGAGGACTCAGCAAGCCATTAGATATGTGGGGTCTGGAATTCAGGAAAGAGATCCGAATTAAAAATAGAAATATGAGAATCTCAGCATACTTAAGAGTAGCAGAAATCATAAAAGGGGGTGGGCTTGCCCATAAATTATGTAGACTAAGGAAACGATGAAAACAGAAGCCCAGCAAAGAAGGTTTTAGAAAAAAGAGAAAATCTTACAGAATGATTAAGAGCTGGGAGGAAAGGCCAGCTAGACGATGTCACGGAAGCCACAGTAGGACCGAAGTTCACAAAAAGAAAAAGTGGCCATTGGTGTCAGCGAGGCAGAAATAATCAGGCCATGCAGTCAGTTGGCTATGGGGGAGCTTTACCAGTGCAGCCTCATGAGAAAAGTAAGGCAAATGGTGTTGGCCAGAGGTTGGAGAGTATCTTTTGGATGAGGAGTTGGAGACACAATTGTACTTCCATTGCTCTTTCTATAAATTGGGATGATCTAGCATGCAGGGAAATGTGTATCTAGAAAGGTTCATCTTTTTTTAAAGGAGCTTTATAGAAATATAATTACTATACTTTAACAATACAGCTTAAAAGAATACAACTCGATGAGTTTGGGCCTGGGTATAACACCCCTGAAACCATCACCATCGCTAAGACAGTGAACATGTCCATCACCCCCAAAGTAGAAAAAGTATGAATTTTGAGAAGGTGAAGGGAGGGAGCCACTGGAAAGAGAAATTGAAAGTACAGAAGAGAGGATGATGGAGCAAAGGCAGAGGAGCAAGTGGAACCCCAAAATTTGCTTCAGCAGTTCATTCAAAAGCCTCTCTTGTGTCTTTTCCCTTTTACCTGGTATAACCTTTACTAAAACTTAAATTGTAATTTTGTTGATTTATAAGTGATGACAGAGCAAATGATAAATTACTATACCTGGCACAATCTTATTTATAGAGAAGTAATGTAGTCATGGAATTCAAGATTGTTACTATTCCCCACACGCGCTCAGACTTCCTACCACTTCAAAAGCCAGTTTGTATCTTCATATGTCAATATTTAAAAGTCTCTAAACTGTGTGTCTTCTCTTGCAGCCCAATTAAAGGATATTGCCTACGGCACCAAGCAGTATAAATTTAAACCAGAAATCATGCCAGATGACTTGGTTGATGAATTTGATGAAACCATTCACTTAGAACGAGGGGAAAACCTCTTTGAAATCCATATCAGCAAAGTAACCTTTTCTCCTGAAGTTTTGCAGACATCTGGAGATAAGGAGCTTGTCACTTTCTGTACCTATGCTTTCTACGACTTTGAACTCCAGACAACTCCTGTAGTGCAAGGCCTTCATCCAGAATATAACTTCACTTCTCAATATGTTGTTCATGTCAATGACTTATTTTTGCAATATATTCAGAAGAATACTATCACACTCGAGGTCCACCAAGCCTACAGCACAGACTATGAGACTATTGCAGCATGTCAGTTGAGATTCCATGAGATTCTGGAAAAACACGGTCGAATATTTTGTACAGCAAGTTTGGTCGGTAAGTACCATCTTCTGAGTTCCGGATGTTTAATTCATTGGTTTGGTTTATATGCTTACATCCTATTCCAATTAGATCTTCTCTTACACATTGAAGGGTGCTTTTTTTTTTTTTTTTTTTTAAAGTATTTTTTTTTGTTTTTTTTTTTTTTTAAATTGCTAGTTTTTTTTTTTTTTTTTTTTTTTTTTAATATTTATTTATTTATTTATACAAGCACTGGGTACAGTCAGAAGTGCGGGAGGGTGAGAGAATTCACCAGAGCCAGAGCGGGGAGCAGAGCAGGCAGAAGGACAGAAGTACACTGCTGAGGGGAGCAGCGGGCGGCAGGAGAGGTCTGCGCGCCATGCGGGACCCTCGCCGGCCGCCGGGGATCGAACCGGTGTTGCAGAGGCTGCAGGCAGCTTCGCAGCCCAGCCCTCAACCGCTGCACCACCAGGGGAGGCCCTTGAAGGGTGCTTTTTGGGGAAGGACAGCGTTCTCTAGTTTGACTGCCCATTCCCAGACTATCTTAAATATTATTGATGATGATGTTACAACGGCTACTAATTTTTCAAAGCTTGTAGTTGCAGATAGCTTATAGTTGCAAATATTTATTTACCATATTGATATCCTTCCTGGATTGAACATTAATTGAAATACATTCACAAAATATTTTTTTTTAAAGATTTACTTTTATTTATTTATTTTATTTATTTATACAAGCACTGGGTACAGTCAGAAGCGCGGGAGGGTAAGAGAATTCACCAGAGCCAGAGCAGGGGCAGAGAAGGCAGAAGGACCGAAGCACACTGCTGAGGGGAGCAGCGGGTGGCAGGAGAGGTCTGCGCGCCATGTGGGACCCTCCTCCAGTGGCCGGGGAGCAGCCGGGGATCAAACTGGTGCTGCAGAGGCTGCGGGCAACTTTGCAGCCCAGCGCTCAACCGCTGCGCCACCGGGGAGGCCCCAACACAAAATATTTTTAAAAGAACTTATCATACTCTCACTGTGACTAGGCCCTGGGAATTTAGTGGTCAGCGGTAAATAAAACAAAGCCCCTGCCCTCACATGGCTTACCGTCTAGAGGAGAAGACAAGTATTAGAAATACACACACACACACACACAAATATATCCATGTGTATGTGTAGACACACGCACAGATATATAATCAGATGTGAAGAAAAATGATCAGGATAAGAGAGGACAAAGAAGGAGGTAGAAGTTTACTAATTCAGATGAGAGCTTTTCTGAGGAATGACACTGATAAAAACTTAAAGAATAAGGATCCATGCCAGGAGTCAGGGTGAGAATGTTTCAAGCAGAGAAAACATCAAGATTGAAGACCTGAGGGAGGAGAAAACCTGGTTTGAGGAGCAGCAGGAAGGCCAAGGGCTAGAGCAGAGGTGAGGTAACAGCACCAGGCAGCAGCCAGGTCAGACTGTGGAACCTTGTGGGTCATGGTGAGGAGTTTGGGTCTTTTTTTTTTTATTTAAAGATTTTTTTATTTATACAAGCACTGGGTACAGTCGGAAGCGCGGGAGGGTGAGAGAATTCACCAGAGCCAGAGCGGGGAGCAGAACAGGCAGAAGGACCAAAGTACACTGCTGAGGGGAGCAGCGGGTGGCAGGAGAGGTCTGCTGCTCCATGTGGGTAGCTCCCTGGCTGGGGATTGAACTCATGCTGCAGTGGCTGCGGATAGCTTCACAGTGCTGAGACTTAACCCCCTGTGCCACCAGGGAAGCCCCAGGAATTTTTTTAATGATGGCAAATTTGAATCATGTTTGTATGTAGATGAGAATGAGAATGACCCACCGGCAAGAAAGAAATTGATAAAGGCGGAGAACATTGGGGTATTTTTTTTTTTTTTTTTTGTGGGACCCTCGCCAGCGGCCGGGGAATGAACTGGTGCTGCAGCCTCGCAGCCCAGCGCTCAACCACTGCGCCACCAGGGGAGGCCCTGGGGTAATATTTTTAATAATATGGCATCCTAGGAAAGTTAACGTATAGAATATTTCACCATAACAAATACTGAGTGCTCGCATTGTCCTAGTCCCTCTCGTGGGAATGTATCCATGGAAAGCGCAGCCCTTCCCTCTGGAAGCGGCAGAGAAACAGACTGGTGAAGGGTCCTGCCGAAGCAGTCAGTGCCCCAGTGAGGACATAGTCCTCCTTTCTGGAAGTGAGAGCTCTTAAGTTTGCAGAGGCCTTAGCATGAGTCTTCACAGAGGAAGAAATAGGAGGACCTGTGTAAATGGAAGACTGTCGGGGGTGCTCTGGACCAACTTCACGCGCGAGTGTGTTGCACATGCCCAGCTACTGCAGGTCCCCTCTGCTGTGACACAGCAGGGTCCTGGGAAGGTGCCAACAACTTCTTGATATTTGATTGTATTGTGGAAGATCATAATTGTGAGGTTTCATATTGCATCTCAGACTGCACTGAGTGCAGCTTGTTTAAAAAAAAAAATAGTACTGCAGCGTCAAAAGGAATCCATATTTGGAGTATTTGATTCAATGTTTTTGCATTTTTCTTTGTGTATTAGGAGGATTGAAATAGTATGAATTCCCGTCTCAAACAGTGTTTGACGTAGTTCTCTAATAATATTTAATATCCAGTGAAACTCATACTTGCAGCAGTAACTTTATTTTCTTCATCTGTTCCTCGCCCATCACGTTATTTGTGCAAGTCATATTATTTTACTCCATACAGAATTTATAGTCTTAATGCATAACGCCATTGATAGAATTTTTGCTTGTATGTATTTTAACTTGTAGGAGTATTTTAATAGTTATGCCTTGATTTGTAGGAACTAAAGGAGAGATCCCAGGTTTTGGTACAGTGGAATACTGGTTTCGATTAAGAGTTCCCATGGATCAAGCAATTCGACTGTACCGGGAACGGGCGAAGGCTTTGGGATACATAACCTCAAATTTTAAGGGACCAAATCAGATGCCGTGGGTAAGCTTGGCTGACTTTAAGACCCTTTTCTGACTCTGAAATTTCATGATATTTCTTATATGTCATGCTTTAAACTGAAATCATTTTCTTTTACAGCCATCAAGTGGCTTTAAGCTTTTTTTCTTTTGACATAATCATAAGCTTACACGAAGGAACAGTAGAGAAGTCTGCGCCCCTTGACCCAGCCTCTCCCCAGTGCAGCATCTCATATAACTAGATAGTCCAGCAGGAAGCTGGCTTTGGCGAGATGCTCTTACCTGGGCTGCCGACCCACTCAGATTTTGTCTGTTTTATCAATATATGCGCTCGTGTGTGTGTGTGTGTGTGTGTGTGTGTGTGTGTGTGTGAAGTTGTATTCATTTCTATCCTTTTTGTTTTATTTGCTAGATGGAATTAGTTTCTGTAACTTTCAGATAAAGAGCCATGACGAGTATAACATTGATTCCCAAACTTAAGAAAGAACAGCCCCTGTTTCCTATGGATCATCTTTCTGAACTAGTATTCTTCAGAACTCTCTGGGAAGTGCTGTCACAGAAAAGGAAATTCGAAATAGAGAGACCAGATTACTTAGTGTTGTGGTTTAAAGGTTTTTAGACTCAGTTTTTGGCTCAAGTGTGCCATTTATTCGTTGGAATTTCAACTTCTGTGGGTAGATTTATGGGGAGAAGCTATGAGAGTACTTTTTAAATCATTGCACTCAGCCTTTCGTAGCTGAATGTTAACTCACCCTGGGAAGCAGCGCTGGGATTCCCTTTCCAGAGTTCCCCTCTCCGCACCACCAGATGTCTCCACTAAGGAGACTATGTAACTATGGTTCCATTTTTCCTTCTCCAGTAAACGTCTCTAAAGTCAGACACGTAATCCAAATTCAGAAATGCAGTGAAAGAAAGGTCTCTTTGTGGAAGGCAGAGAATTCCCCAACACTGTCTTGAAACACTAGCGTCACTCCACCTCACTCGCGGTAGACTGAACAGTCAGTGCAATTCTTCGCTAAAATCTTGTGCACTGGCTCCCTGAGTAATAGTGTGAAAAGTGATCAGAGAGTAATTTTAGCTCTGCCTGTGAATGGAACTCCTCTTGCCCATTCCTCTCCTGAAATACCCTCCCAAGTCTAGCTTTTTGTCCTCTCTGGGCTTTTTCTTTGATTCTGTTCTGTTATTTTTATGGCAGTTGAACTTTAGTAGACTGGCTCGGGTATCTGCTTCCCCAAACCCTATGGGTTCAGGATGAGGCTGACCCAAATATAACAAAAGCATCTCTCTGGGTGGGCCCCATCAAAGAACATTAGATTACTCATTTCTCAGTTTCGTTTGGTTTTAACAGCAATCTCTGCATGTCTGCTCAGTCCACTGTGTTTGCTGCTAATCACATAGCAGCATCTGTACATGTTCTAGGACATATTGGTTTTGAATAAGAATAATCTTTTACTGAGACAATGACTGCAACGTGAAAATATACAGCTTTTTATCCATGTACAAAATTATTTTGTTTGGGGGTTGGCAGCTGCTGTGTATCTTTTAATGTATTACTATAATATAAATATGTATGTTTTTCCAGTTAAGTCAGCAAGCACCTAAAACCGCTCAGCTCAGTTCTACAGAGTCCACAGATGGCAACTTAAATGAACTTCATATTACAATAAAATGTTGCAGCCACCTGCAGTCCAGAGCAAGCCACCTTCAGCCACACCCATACGTCGTGTACAAGTTTTTTGATTTCGCAGACCATGATACAGCAATTATTCCCAGTAGCAATGATCCACAGTTTGATGATCATATGTGTTTCTCAGTGCCAATGAATATGGATTTGGATCGATACCTTAAGTCAGAGTCTCTGAGTTTTTACGTGTTTGATGATAGTGATACGCAGGAAAATAATTACATAGGAAAAGTCGCTGTGCCCCTGATTTCACTGGCACATGACAGGTGTATCTCAGGTAAGCCCATTTCTCAAATCTATAAAATTGTAAAAACAAATTTAAATTATATCTCAGTCTATATAGAGCTTCCTAAACTTCTTAGATAGTCTTAAACTTTCAATCTACAATTTTGGGGTTTTTTGAGTTATTTTCTTAGTAGTTTTCTAGGGATTATAATAGGTATCATAATTTCTCACAGTCTACTTAAAATTAATACTAACAACTCAATTAAAATTAAAACATACATATGTAAAGTCAGGGGCCTCCCCGGTGGCGCAGCAGGTTGAGTGCTGTGCTGTGAAGCTGTCCACAGCCTCTGCAGTGTGGGTCCAATTCCCAGCCGGCCAGGGAGCTACCCACATGGCGCGGCAGACCTCTCCTCTCTCGCCCGCTGCTCCCCTCAGCAGTGTTTTCGGTCAGTCTGCCTGTTCTGCTCCCCACTCTGTCTCTGGTGAATCCTCTCACCCTCTCGCACTTCTGGCCTGTACCCCAGTTCTTGTGTAAACAATAAATAAATCTTTAAAAAATAATAAAGTATATATTTTTTAAAAATATGTAAAGTCTGCTTGAATATAAGTTCATTCATTCCATCCCCCCTCCTTTGTGCAGTGGTTGCCGTATATCTGTGTAATAGCATATAGTACACCTGTTTATGTTACAAACCCAGCAGTGCCGTGTTGTAATTATTGTCTTATAGACCTTAAGTCCTTTAAAAAAGTTAAGAGGATAGAGAATATATATAGTTATAGTAGATTTTCGTATTTTATGTTTCATCATATATGACATATATTTATATATGTGTGTATTTATATTTTATCAATTCTGACTTTTTTTATTTCTTCCTGTGGATTTGATACTGTCTGGAGTCCGTATATATGAACCCCATTTGTATGAACTCCATTTCATCCCCCTCCTTTGTGCTGTAGTGCTCATATATTATTTATCTTTGTATATTATGTCCAAGAATATGTACTACAGTAATTGTCTATGCAGTTGTTTTTTAAATCAGGTAAGAGAAGAAATGAGGGAAAACATTGGTACCGTTTTTCATCACTATCTTCTTTGGGTCTCTTCCTTTGTGTTGGTTTGAGTTACCCTGTGGCGTTACCTGCTGCCAGCCCGAAGAACCTCCCTTAATGTCTTGCAAGTCAAAACTGCTGACAGAGAATTCTCTCAGTCTTGATATCTATGAATATCTTTATTTTGCTTTTATTTTTTTGAAGGATAGTCTTGCTGGATATAATATTCTTAGTCATTCTGGCACGTATTACATCTGGTGAAAGCCAGCTGTTATTTTTGTTATGGATGGCTTGTATCTGATGCTGTTTTCAGGACTAACTGGTTGATTCATTTATATTTTGGCTTTCAACAGTTCAGCTATGATGTGTCTATGTTTGGATCCTGTTGTGTTTATCCTGCATAGAATTTGTTGAGCTTGTGTGTAGCATACTGTTATATACCAAATTTGGGGAGTTTTCTGCCAATATCTCTTCAATTGTTTTTCCTGCCCTTTCTTTTTTTTCCTTTTATTGGATTTCTGTTACTGTATGTTCGTGTTTAATGGTCTCCCACTGGTCTCTGAGGCACAAAAGACCTCTATGCCTGACCTCTGTGTTCTTTTTTCCTTATTTTCCTCTTCAGAATAGATGATCTCAGCTGATGAATCTTAAAGTTTATTGATTCTTTTCTGCTGCCAGCTTAAATCTCCTTTTGTTCCCACTATGTTGAATTTTTTTTCATTTCAGTCATTATACTTTTCAGCTCCAGAATTTCCTTTTTTATATTTTCATTTTTATATTATATTATGTTTTATGTCATTGTCTTTCCTTTTTAATTTTTCCGATATGGTTTCTTTTAATTTTGTGCATATATGTATAATAGCTGCTCTGAGGTCTCTGTCTGCAAAATCTAACACCTGGACATCCTCAGAAAGTGTGTACTGATAGAATTTTTTCTTTTTTTATTTGTTTTAACAGGACTTTTAGGACACTATATTATAGCAACTCTGAATTCTAACCTTTCCCCATCCCATCAGTGGTTACTGTTGCTGTTTTTGTTTGTTTGATGATTTGCCTGGGTTAATTCTGTAGTCTTTTTCCCTCATTATAGCCACTGATGTCTGTGCTAATGCTTGCTTCTAGTTTTAATTTTCAGCACTCAGTAAATAATTGGTCAAAGGTTGGGCTTAAAAAAGCTTGAGCTAGTGGTCACCCACACTTCACCTTGGCAGTGCCTTCAAAGTTCAGGCAGTCTACAAGCCTCATGTTCAGCCAGGGACAAGTAACTTATTAGGGACTGGCCTGACTCCTACTGTTCTTACTGGAGGTCAGTAGATTTTCTTGAGCAAGTGCTTCTCAACTTGTTCTTCACCTTTGATCACTTTCCAGACCACTTAAATGGTTGATTTTGATAGGTTTGTCCAGTGTTACCATTTTTTTTTTAATAGAAAGGATTTACTGAGCTCTTCAGTCAAGCATCTGAAAGTCCCACTGATTTCTAATAGAAGTGTATCACATCCCTGTCCTCCATCTATATCCAATTTTTTAACTACAGTGTAGAGTTGGTTTGTTTTTTCTTTCCCAATCAGCCATTAAAAGAAATGTCGGGAACTTGAGAATCTAGTAAGGTTCCTAAATTAGTTATGCTTGAAATACGTTTTTTCAAGTCAGAAAAAATCTGGTCTAACAATAAAAGTTTGTGAATCAGTGTTACAGATTCAGCTAGGTGATATTTTTCATTAGTGTTATGTGTTTTGGGCTTATTTATATTATGGACTTTTTTTGTTGTTGTTGTGCTACTTATTAATTTAAATTAATGTAACTGATCCCAGTAAAATATATTTAAAATTATAATAGAATTATATAGTGATATAAAGACTTTAGATATATAAATTATTTGAAATTTTTAAGTTTTAATGTATTCTCTGTAGAGACAGGTCTTTTGCAAGAATATTCAAGGCAAAATGAAGATAGATATTTGAGCTTTATCCCAGATAATGACTTCGAGGAAGACTTGAAAATCTGAATAATCTCTGAATTTAATTTTAGTGAATTAAAATATTTATAAGTTAATTTTCTCATCTTTGAATTAGACCTTAGCATCTGAAAGCAATCTGCCTGAGAGATGAACATATCATAGATCCTTTTGTCTTCATTTTATTCTCTACCTCCTTTGATTTGTGAGTGAATGCCAAAATTATTTTTTAAGTTATGAGTAGTACTTTTCATCTTTAATTCTTATGGTAAAAAAAGTTACTGTAGCATTAATTTCTAGCAAAAATAATAAAATTATTTTTGTAATTTGACAGGAATATTTGAGTTAAGCGATCATAAAAAGCTTCCTGCAGGAACCATCCATGTTATATTGAAATGGAAATTTGCTTATCTTCCACCAAGTGGATCCATAACAACTGAAGACTTAGGAAATGTCATACGTGAGGAAGAATCAGAAGTTCAAAGACTCCTTCCATCGTCCTCTGTCGGCACTCCAGTTGTAGTGAGTAACACTTTGATTTCCTATGAAACCTAAGAAACAGCCAAAAAAAAGAGAGAAAAAAACAGCTGAAGCCTTCGCTAAACGTATGGTCATCATAGTCATCTTGGCATATTGGTTTACTTTAGGCTCCGACACCTAAGCCGAGGCAGCGTTTAACACCTGTCGAAAAGAAGGTGTCTTTTGTGGATATCCCACCACCTCAGAGTTCTGTAAGTAGCAAATGCTGAAAATACCCATTTTTTTCCGTTAACATATATTTTTAGTTGTAGAAAATGACCTGTGTTAATTAATCTGAATATTAACCTTAAAATAATTTTATTTTATTGAGTTTACAACACCATATAGGATCACACCCCTTCGGGTGTCTGTTATAACACCACACCTGCTGACAAGGAACCCATAGTCCTACATTTAGTCCATGTGCCCCGCTCCCCGCTTGGCTCTCCCCACTCTGGCGGCATTCATTCTGCAGTTGTGCGCCTCAGGCTTGTTATTGACTTGTTTGTGTCTGACCCTTTGTCTTGTTCCTCTGTATTCCACATGGAAATAAAACCATCCAGTATTTGTCATTTTCCTTCTGACTTGTTTTGCTCCAGCTCCATCCATGTAGTTGCAAACTGCAGCAGTTCATCTTTTCTATCACCATGTGGTACTCCATCATGTATGTAGACCACATTTTCTAATGCACCGCTCTGCCCAGGCCACCTAGGTCGCTTCCATAATAGTGCTGCAGTGATCACAGGAGTGCATATGTTCCCTTACTGTTCTTACACTTTCTTCAAACAGACACCTAGGAGCAGAATTGCTGGATTGTAAAGTAGATCTTTTCTTTTTTTTTTTTTTTTTTTTTTTTTAAGATTTATTTCTCTATACGAGCACTGGGTATAGTCAGAAGCGCGGGAGGGCGAGAGAATTAACCAGAGCCAGAACAGGGAGCAGAACAGGCAGACTGTCGAAGTACACTGCTGAGGGGAGCAGCGGGCAGGCAGGAGAGGTCTGCGCACCATGTGGGACCCTCACCCGGTGGCCGGGGATCAAACCGGCGCTGCAGAGGCTGGGGGGCAGCTTCGCAGCCCAGCGCTCAACCGCTGCGCCACTGGGGAGGCCCAGATCTTATTTTTTATATTTTGATAACCCTCCATGGTGTGAGATGATATCTCGCTGTAGTTTTAAATTGCATATTCCTTATGATAAGCAGTGTTCCTCTTGGCCACCTGCATGTCTTCTTTGGAGAAATGTGTACTTAGTCTTCTGTACACGTTTTGATTGGGTTGTTTTGTTTTTGTTTTTGTTGAGTTATGTGAGTTCTTTGTAGATCCAGGATATCAGCCCCTTACTGGAGATATGGTATATAAATATTTTCTACCACTCAGCAGGGAATCTTTTTGTTTTAATAATAGTTTCTTTTGCTGTTTGTTGTAATTCCACTTACGTATATTCTTTTTTGTTTCTCTTGCTGTTGGAGATGAATCCACAAAGACATCACTGAACCAGTGTTGTGGAGTGTTTTTCCTTTATTTTGTTCTATGTATTCTATGGTCTCAGGTCTTAATCTAATTCTTTTTTTTTTTTTTTTTTTTAATTTTCTAGAGGCATGTCTTATTTATTTATTTATTATTTGTTTGTTTGTTTGGTTTATACATGCACTGGGTATAGTCAGAAGCGCGGGAGGGTGAGAGAATTCACCAGAGCCAGAGCAGGGAGCAGAGCAGGCAGAAGGACCGAAGTACACTGCTGAGGGGAGCAGCGGGCGGCAGGAGAGGTCTGCGCGCCATGTGGGACCCTCCTCTGGTGGTCGGGGAGCAGCCGGGGATCGAACCGGCGCCGCAGAGGCCGCGGGTAGCTTCGCAACCCAGCGCTCAACCGCTGCGCCACCGGGGAGGCCCTCTTAATCTAATTCTTTAACCCTTTTTTCAGTTTGTTTTTGTGATGATGTGAGGTAGTAGTCTACTTTCATTCTTTTGCATCCAGCGCTCCAGTTTTCCCAGTATCATTCCTTTCTTCATTGTATACTCTTGTCTGCTTTGCTGTAGATTAACTGTCCATTTGTGTGGGGGTTTATTTCTGGGTTCTCAATCCTATTCCATTGTTCTCTGTGTCTGTTTTTATTCTAGAAGCAAACATCTGTAGAAAAGAAGGTATCTTTTGTGGATATCCCACCACATCAGAGTTCTGTAAGTAGTAAACTCTCAAAATACCAATTTTTTCCAGTGCAAATATTTTATATAAATATCACCTACGTGATTAAAATGGAAACAGGTGAATAAAATACTTCTTTTTCCTTTGTAATTTGTTGTTATCTTTGTCATTTGGCAGTATGTGTTAACTTAGGTTTTGATTAAAACCCTCCTTTGAAAATATATGTATCTCCAACTTCTGCTCCAATCTTCTGCCCCAAAAACAAACCAAAAAGTTTTCAAAAAGTTGTTTTAATTCTGCTTATCTTTCTCATATTCTTAGTTGAAGTCACTCTAGTCAGCCCTTCCTAGTTTTTCTGCAGCTCTACTAGTTACAGATCCTGTCTATAAATGTTGAAGTGCCTCAGCAGTCACTCTGCAAAGCTAGAAGAGTCTCAGTGTATGTCTCAAACGAGGTCTCACCCCCTCCCAAAGTTTTTAAAAGCAGATGTACCAATCCTCCCATCTTTGTAACCTTCTTTCTTCATCTCACTACTGAATTCCATGTTTGTTTTCTTACAGCTTATTTCAAGCCACTGAATGGTTAATAGGAACCTAAAATTAATATGTCAACCAAATCTAATTTTGCAACCCTTTTCTAAAATTTTTCTCTTTTCAGCTTTTCCTATTCACAGTAAATATTATTATCATTCACGCTGTCGCGTAGTCATGAAATTTTGGAAGTGTGCCCTCAACTTCTCTTTTTCCACCTTCCCACATCCAGTTCATCCACAAACCCTTTCAGCTATATTTTTAGCAATAAGTCCTATATTTGTACTATTTCCACTGTTAACTATTCAAGTCATCATTTTCTTCCATCAACTTTTAAAAATATATATTTTCTTTGTAATTGAAATAAAACTTTCATATGGTAAGGGACACAAATCTTACGCACACAGCTCAATGAATGTTTATACATGTACAGACCTGTGTAACCAACACCCGCATCAAAATATTCTTTCCCCCAAGGCTTAAAATAATTTGATATTTATAGAAAATTGACTATTTATGTGCTAAAAAATGAAGTCAAATAATTATTTGGGTAATTTTTTATAGCTGGCATTTATTATCTGTTTATTATGTGTCAGACACTGAACTAAATGCTTTCTATCCATTGAACTTATTTAATCCTCCAAAAAAACTTGTGTAGTTTATGCTAGAATGTTTTCCATTTAAAGATCAGGAAAGCAGGGCCTCCCTGGTGGCACACATGGTTGAGCACTGCACTGTGAAGCTGTCCGCAGCCTCTGCAGTTGCGGGTTCAATCCCGGCCGGCCAGCAAGGGTCCCACATGGCACAGCAGACCTCTCCTGTCTCGCCCCCGCTGCTCCCCTCAGCAGTGTATTTCGTCAGTCTGCCTGTTCTGTTCCCCACTCTGTCTCCGGTGAATCCTCTCACCCTCCCGCGCATCTGGCCTGTACCCTGGTTCTTCTATAAAAATAAATAAATCTTAGAAAAAAAAAAAGTAAATACATTATTAAAAAATACATAAATAAAAAAATAAAGATCAGGAAAACAGTGTTTACAGAGATTAAGTAACTTGTTCAAGGTCAGGGTATTAGATCTTGGATTGGGACACAAAGAGCCTCATTCCTGAGTAGATGGTCTTTAATAACAAAAGGCGGAGACCTGTAGATGTTGGTTGCATTGATAGTCTTAATAGCGAAAACTCATGAACTAGTTAAATATCCACAATTAGTAAGATGGTTTACTAGGTCATGGTACATTCACTTAATGTATGCTGTAATTAAAACTAATTTGACCCAAAGTTTCATGTTACAATGCTCTTTTTAATGAAGCAGGATATATTACCTGTTATATAGTGGTATATAGTGGTATATAGTGGTAACAATTACCACTATGTAATGAAATGTTTTTTATTTGCTTTAAAAATTATAAAGAAATAAAAATCTAGCTAGTTATTAACAGATATCATTCAGTGAGAATGTAGATTAGTATTTGTTTAATGTTTTCTTATTTATCTTTTACATTTTCTATGCTGCCCATTTACTTTTCAAATAACAAAGATAAGGAACTGTATTTTAAAAATAAACATCAATTTATGGACACTGGAAAAATGGTTAATTTAGACATTGATAATACGGTGAGAAGGTGAGGTTGATTATAGAAAGTATATGTCTGGCATATGCAATTTTTTTAATTTATGAGTAATGGATCATCATAAAAATCTTAGAAAATGCAAATAAAAATCAACACAGTAAAAATGAAATTAAATTTCCCCAAATTATATATATATATGTACACTTTAATAAGTGTCTATATATTCTGTATACCAGAGATAGAATTTTGGTGAATTTCCTTTCACACATCTTCCTATGGAAATGTATACATGTTTGTTGTTTAACAAAACAGGACACAACTATATATTGTTATAACTAGCTTTTTTGCTTAGCACTATATTATATCCTCTGCTGTATCAGTTAATACAGATCTGTATTACCATTTTTTCATGGTTACATAGAACCAGTTATTTGGATATACCATATTTTATATGACTGGTGCCCTATTGTTGGACATTTGCATTATTTCACCTTTTTTGCCATTATAAATAATGCTTCAGTGAGCTACACTTGAGATTCTTAAGTAGCATATGTACACCACAGAGAGTATCAACTATTTTACTGAAATACCCTAGCGAAATTCATCATCATAAGGGTAACTAATGTACTTGCTCCTAAGTTTTATTTGTGTGTGTGTGTGTGTGTGTATGTGTGGAAAAGCCTTAAGATGACTTGGGATTTAGTAAAGTGTATTTAGTAAATACACTAATATACATGCATATTTTCATCTTAATGTAAGGAGAACTCTACGCCTGAAGATATGAAGGAAATTTCACCAAAAGTCAAACATAAACCAAAAGTAGAAATTAATATGCCAGCTGTTTCACATGTTCCCAAGGTATGTAGTTACATTAAAATTATTTTTAAAGGTATAATTTGTTTCTTAAAGATTGTATTTTTGTATTGACATGGATTGGGATATCATAACAATGATTCTGTCTTTGTATAGACTTCCTTTGAATATAAAGGTAAAAAATATGCAAGTGTAACAGCTACATCGATGCTGATGTTAGCAGGTAGTAAATCAGTATGTGAAAGTATTAATGTAAAATTCATTTTGAGATTAATCCATTTTTCATTCTTATTTTATAACCATCTTTATCTGTACAATTTATTATTTTCTAATAAATCATGTATATATTGCATATTTGTGTATTGTCTCATGTTTATATGCTTTATTATTCAAGTGCTTCAGCAATAATGCTTTGGGGGGAGTAATGCTAGAAATGTGATTTTACTTAGTGATAATAAATATATTGATATAGATGTGCTTTCATTTCTTCAGGTTTCTCAAGAAAGCGATGAAGAGAAGGTAAAAGAGAATACAGAGAAAATGCCACAAGGAAAAGATGATGATGTATCTTTATTATCTGAAGGTCAGCTTGCAGAAGAAAATTTGACTTCTTCTGAAGATGAGACAGAAATAACTGAGGAATTGGAACAAGAAGGTGCCCCTCTTTTTTAAATTAGTAGCATTTACTTAACTCTGCTTTATTTAACCTGTTTGTTTAAGTCTCACAGAATATCTTCATTTGATCTACTTCTTTTTTTTTTTTTTTTTTTTTTTTAAGATTTATTTTTATTTATTTATTTATACAAGCACTGGGTACAGTCAGAAGCGCGGGAGGGTGAGAGAATTCACCAGAGCCAGAGCGGGAAGCAGAGCAGGCAGAAGGATCGAAGTACACTGCTGAGGGGAGCAGCGGGCGGCAGGAGAGGTCTGCGCGCCATGTGGGACCCTCCTCTGGTGGCCAGGGAGCAGCCGGGGATCGAACCGGCGCCGCGGAGGCTGCGGGCAGCTTCACAGCCCAGCGCTCAACCGCTGCGCCACCTGGGAGGCCCTGATCTACTTCTTGATACCTATTTCTTGACAGAAATGTTGTGCTAGAGCTCAGTCTAGTCCACTGTGGGCAGGTGGAATTGGTGCATATCTTCTTTTAATTTGGAATACCACAACAGAATGGAAGTATTGTTGCAGACTATTTTCCCAATATTTTAAATGGTTTTTTATTCTCTTTGGCTCAGTATTATCATATGTGGTTATTCTAGAAGAGTATACTTTTTAAAAGCTAAAAATAAAGACTCAGGGCCTCCCTGGTGGCACAGGGGGTTAAGACACAGCACTGTGAAGCTATCCACAGCCACTAAATCATGAGTTCAATCCCCGGCCAGGGAGGTGACCCACATGGCACAGCAGACCTCTCCTGTCTCCCCACTGCTCTCCTCAACAGTGTATTTCAGTCAATTCACCTGTTCTGTTCCCCACTCTGTCTCTGGTGAATCCTCTTATCCCCCACACCTCTGGCTGGTACCCCAGTTCTGTATGCATAAATAAATAAATCTTTGAAAAAATAAATAAATAAAAGTAAGGATTCAGACCAAAAAAAGAAAAACTTACTAAATGATTTAACTTTATCTCTTCAGATGTATGTTATACACAACACCAACCACCAAGCTGTCCATAGTAAAAATAACTTGACTTTTATATAATATTATTGGGTAGATTGTTAGAAAGCATCTATAACTCATTCTTCTCTTTTTAAAAAATTACTTTTTAATTTCATACTAGAACAAACTATATTTTTATTTCCTGTTTCTTCTAAAACACTTGGTTTTGTCTGACCCTTTGTTTTGTTTCATATATAAGTGAAAACATCTGATGTTTGTCTTTCTTCCACTGACTTATTTTGCTTAGCATAATCCCCTCCAGTTCCATCCATCACAAATGGCAAGAGTTTGCCTTTTTTATGGCTGCATAATGTTCCATTGTGTATATATATATACCACATCTTAATTCTCTCATCTGCCAGTAGGCACTTAGGTTATTTTAATAGCTTTGCTATTATAAATAGTGCTACAGGGCCTCCCTGGTGGCCTAGGGGTTAAGACTCAACACTATACTGCTATGGCCTGAGTTCGATCCCTGGCCAGGAAGCTAAACTACATATGGCATGCAGACCTCTGTTGTTACGCCCGTTGCTCCCCTCAACAGTGTATTTCAGTAGATCCACATGTTCTGCTCCCCACTCTATCTCTGGTGAGTCCTCTCACCCCCCGACATCTCTGGCCTACACCCCAGTTCTTCGTCACAATAAATAGATAGATAGATAGTGTTGCCGTGAACATAGTAGTGCATCTGTCCCTTCAAATTAGTGTTTTTAAATTATTTGGGTAGATACCTGAGAGTGGAATTGCTGAATCATAAGTTGGATCTATTTATAATAATTTGAGAATCCTCCATACTGTTTTCCATAGGAATGGGGCCAGTCTCATTGCTGCCAACAGTGTATGAGGGTATCCCTTCCCCCACCCTTACCAACACTTACTTACTGTTTCAGCTCTTTTTCAGATGGACTGTAAGCTGGTAGATCATTGTGGTTTTGATTTGCATTTCCTCGATAAACTAAATGATGATGAGCATTTTTTCCCTTGTATGGTTTCTTTTTTTTTATTTATTTATTTATTTATTTATACAAGCACTGGGTACAGCCAGAAGTGCGGGAGGGTGAGAGAACTCACCAGAGCCAGAGCGGGGAGCAGAGTAGGCAGAAGGACCGAAGCACACTGCTGAGGGGAGCAGCGGGCGGCAGGAGAGGTCTGCGTGCCATGTGGGACCCTCACCCGGCAGCCGGGGATCGAACCGGCACTGCAGAGGCTGCGGGCAGCTTCGCAACCCAGTGCTCAACCGCTGTGCCGCCAGGGGCGGCCCCCTTGTATGGTTTCTTTTTTTTTTTTTTTTTTTTATTTTATATTTTTATATATATTTTTACATCATTTTTCATTTTTGCACAATTTATGCATTTTCTTTTTTTTTTTTAAATACTAAATTTTATTTTTATATTCCCCATACAATTGCAGCCCCCCATTCTGACCCCAATCCCTCCCCTCCGCCCCCCGCCCCCCTAAAAATGTCTCTGGTTCATAGTTTTTTGTTGATTTTGATTTTCACTTTCTTATAGTTATTCATTTTCCTGGTCCCTTATTTAAGTTTTCTAGATTCCTGCTATGAGTGAGACCATCCAGTATTTTTCTTTTTCTTTCTGGCTTATTTCGCTGAGCATGATCCCTTCCAGCGCCATCCATGTTGCTGCAAATTGCATGTGTTTATCTTTTTTGAATGCTGAGTAATATTCCATGGTATATATGTACCACATCTTCTTGATCCAGTCATCTATTTTTGGGCATTTGGGTTGTTTCCAAAGCTTAGCTATTGTAAACAGTGCTGCTATAAACATAGGGGTGCAGGTGTTCTTTGGAATGGATGTTTCTGTGTCCTTTGGGTAAATACCTAGGAGTGGAATTGCTGGATCATATGGAAGCTCTATGTTTAGTAGGTCCAGAAATCTCCACACAGCTCTCCACAGTGGTTGGACCAGTTTGCACTCCCACCAACAGTGCAGAAGAGTTCCTTTTTCTCCACACCCTCGCCAACATTTGTTGTTGCTAGTTTTTTTTAATATGTGCCATTCTCACTAGTGTAAGATGGTATCTCATGGTAGTTTTGATTTGCATTTCCCTGATGACAAGTGATGTTGAACATTTTTTCATATGCCTGTTGGCCATTTGCATTTCCTCTTCAGAGAAGTTTCTTTTTAGCTCTTCTGCCCATTTTTTGACTGGATTATTTTCTTTGTTGTTGTTGAGTCTCATCAGCTCTTTGCAGATTTTTGTGATCAGCCCTTTATCATTAGTGTTGGGTGCAAAAATGTTCTCCCAGTTGGTGGGGTTTCTCTTTGTTTTGTTATTGTCTCTTTTGCTGTGCAGAAGCTCTTTAATTTGATGTAGTCCCAGCTGTTTATCTTTGCCTTCACTATCACTGCTTTGGGTGATGTGTCTGTAAAGATGTCTTTGATGTGCAAATCACGTAGTGTTTCGCCTATATTTCCTTCTATATATTTTATGGTTTCAGGTCTTATGTCTAGTTCTTTAATCCATTTTGAGTTGATTTTTGTGTATGGTGTGAGGTAGTGGTCAAGCTTCATTCTTTTGCATGTAGCGACCCAGTTTTCCCAGCACCATTTATTGAACAAACTTTCTTTGCTCCAATGCATAGTCTTTGCTCCTTTGTCAAAGATTAGTTGACCATAAATCTGTGGGTTTATTTCTGGATTTTCTATTCGATTCCATTGGTCTGTATGTCTGTTCTTGTTCCAATACCATGCAGTTTTGATGATTATGGCTTTGTAGTATAGTTTGAAGTCTGGGAGTGTGATGCCTCCATTTCCTCTTTTTTTTTCAGTAGAGCTTGGCTATTCGGGGTTTTTGGTGATTCCATATGAATTTCATCAGTAATTGTTCTATTTCTTTGAAGAATGACATTGAGATTTTGATTGGAATAGCATTGAATCGGTATATTGCTTTTGGTAGGATGGCCATTTTAATAATGTTTATTCTTCCAATCCATGAGCAGGGGATGTCTTTCCATTTCTTTGTGTCTTCTATTTCCTTTAACAGTGTTTTATAATTTTCTTTGTATAGGTCCTTTACCTCTTTTGTTAGATTTATTCCCAAATATTTGATTTTTTTTGTTTTGATAATAAAAGGGATGGTTTTTTTTTATTTCTTCTTCTTCAGATTTATTGTTTGTGTATAGGAAGGCTACTGACTTTTGCGTGTTGATTTTGTATCCTGCCACTTTACTGAATTGATTGATAAGTTGAATTAGTTTTTCTGTGGAGTTTTTGGGGTTCTCTATGTATATTATCATATCATCTGCAAATAGTGATAGTTTGACTTCTTCTTTTCCTATTTGGATTCCTTGTATGTCTTTCTCTTGTCTTATTGCTCTGGCTAGGACTTCCAGTATTATATTGAAAAGCAGTGGTGAGAGTGGACATCCTTGTCTTGTTCCAGATCTTAATGGAATTGCTTTCAGCTTTTCACCATTGAGGATGATACTGGCTGTTGGCTTGTCATAGATGGCCTTTATGATGTTGAGGTATGTTCCTTGTATCCCAAGAATTTCAAGGGCTTTTATCATGAATGGGTGTTGCACTTTGTCGAAAGCTTTCTCAGCATCTATTGATATTATCATATGGTTTTATATTTCTTTTTGTTGATGTGTTGGATAACGTTGATTGATTTTCGGATGTTAAACCATCCTTGTGTCCCTGGAATGAATCCTACTTGGTCGTGGTGAATTATCTTATGGATACATTGTTGGATTCTGATAGCTAAAATTTTATTGAGGATTTTTGCATCAGTGTTCATTAGGGAGATTGGCCTGTAGTTTTCCTTTTTTGTGTTGTCCTTATTCGGTTTTGGTATTAGTGTAATGTTGGCTTCATAGAACGTGTTTGGTATTGTCCCTTCCTTCTCAATTTTTTGGAAGAGTTTGTGAAGGATAGGCACTAATTCGTCTCTGAATCTTTGGTAGAATTCATTTGTAAATCCATCAGGTCCTGGGCTTTTGTTTTTGGGAAGGTTTTTGATTACCATTTCAATTTCACTGCTTGTAATTGGTCTGTTTAGGTGTTCCATTTCTTCTTTATCTAGCTTTGGGTGATTGTAGAGTTGTAGGAATTTGTCCATCTCCTCTAGATTGTTGAACTTGTTTCCATATAACTGTTCATAGTAGTTACTGATTATTCTTTTGATTTCTGCTGTGTCCGTTGTGATTTCTCCTCTTTCATTTATGATCCTGTTTATTTGTGCTTTCTCCCTTTTTTCCTTTGTGAGCCTGGCTAGGGGTTTGTCTATTTTATTGAATTTTTCAAAGAACCAGCTCTTGGTTTCATTGATCTTTTGGATTGTTTTTTTAGTTTCAATTTCATTTATTTCTGCTTTGGTTTTTATTATTTCTTTTCTTCTACTGGTTTTGGGGTTTTTTTGTTGTTCTTTTTCTAGATCTCTGAGCTTTGAGATTAGGTTGTTTTTTGAGTTCTTCTTGTTTTTTTGATGTGAGCTTCTATTGCTATATATTTTCCTCTTATTACTGCTTTTGCTGCATCCCATACATTTAGGATATTAGTGTCCTCCTTGTCATTCAATTCAAAGAATTTTTTAATTTCTTCTTTGATCTCCTCGTTAGTCCAGTGGTCTTCCAGTAGTGTGGTTTTTAATCTCCATGAGGTAGGATAGTTCCTCGCCTTCTTTTTATGGTTTATTTCTATTTTGATGCCTTCATGGTCAGAAAAAATGGTTGGTATGATTTAAATCTTGGTGTATCTGTTGATGTTTGTCTTGTGGCCCAGTATGTGATCGATCCTGGAGAATGATCCATGTGCGCTTGAGAAAAATGTGTACTCCGTTTTTTTTGGGTTTAGTGTTCTATAGATGTCTGTTAAGCCCAAATGCTCTAGGTCCTTATTTAGAGCTTTAGTTTCTTTACTTATTTTTTGTCTTGTTGATCTATCCATTGTTGATAGTGGTGTGTTGAAGTCTCCCACTACGTATGTGTTTTCTCTGATGTCTGTTTTCAAAGAGGACAACAGTTGTCTGATATATTTTGGTGCTCCTTCGTTTGGTGAGTATATGTTAATGAGTGTTATTTCTTCTTGAAGTATTGTCCCCTTGATCATAATGTAGTGACCACTGGGGTCTCTTTTTATTTTTTTGAGTTTGAAGTCTGTTTTATCTGATATAAGTATAGCTGTTCCTGCTTTCTTTTTTGGTCCATTTGCTTGTAGGATTGTTTTCCATCCTTTAACTTTAAGCCTATTTTTATCTTTTGTAGCTAAATGTGTTTCCTGGAGACAGCAAAAGGTTGGGTTTTGTTTCTTAATCCAGGCTGCAACTCTGTGTCTTTTTATTGAAGAGTTTAGTCCATTTACATTTGGAGTTAATATTGATATGTTAGCATCTGTATTTGCCATTGTGTTTGTCTTTCCTTTGATTTTATTTATTTATTCTTTTAATAACTTTTTTTTTTTTTTTTGGTCTTCTTTCGTTGTTATTCATCCCTCTGAGGTTCTGGCTTTAGGATTCCTTGTAGTATTTTTTGGAGTGGGGGTTTAGTCGTAATGAAATTCCGGAGTTTCTCTTTGTCTGGGAAGGTCCATATTCTTTCTTCAAAGAGGAAGGAGAGCTTTGCTGGATAGAGTATTCTTGGTTGGCATCTGTTTTCTTGGAGTCTGTTGACTATGTCCCTCCACTCTCTCCTTGCCCGTAGTGTTTCTTCTGAGAAGTCTGATGTCAGCCTGATTGGTTTTCCTTTGAATGTTATCTGTTTCTTCCCTCTTGTCAGCTTCATTATTTTTTCCTTGTCCTGGATTCTTGGGAGCTTTACTATTATGTGTCTTGCTGTGTTTTTCCTTTCGTCGTGGAAGTTTGGTGTTCTTCTTGCTTCTTGTATATCAATTTTCAGCTCCTTCTTCGCATTTGGGAAGTTCTCTTCAATTATCTCCTGGAATATTTTCTCTGTTCCTACATCTCTCTCCTCTCCTTGTATGGTTTCTTTAGAGAAGAATGTATTTAGTTCTTCTCCCCTTTGTCAAATGTATAATGTGCAAATATCTTCCCCCACTGATAAGGTCGTCTTTTCATTTTCATAATCATTTCTTCAGTTATACCGAAGCTTTTCGTTTGGGAGAGTCCATTTTATTTATCTCTGCTTTTGCCTCCATTGCTATTGGACACCAGTCCTCAAGGACATCCATGAAGTCGGTGTCGTGGAGTGATTTGCCTCTTTGCTTCTAAGTGTGGTATCAGCTCTTATATCCAAGTCTTTAATCCATTTTGAGTTAATTTTTATAGATAGTGTGAGATAGTGGGGTTACCAGATTTAAACCAATAAAATTTTATTTTTTAACAGATGAAGAAGACAGATCAGCTTCTGACAGTGATGAGTGTGTTATTCCAAGAGCTATCTCCAAGAATACCACACAGGTCAGTACCTTGATGCCAACTAGGAATGTTCTAAAATAATATTGCTTTCCATTCATAGTATATCAGTCATCATACAAGAAAATCTTAAGGCAAAAATATTCCTGGAAAAATTTATTGCATTATCATAATCTTAAGCAAGTAATGATCTAGTACAAGGAAACTTTATTCATACTTTCATTGCATAATCGGTACAACTTATAAACATTATTCTTGCTTACATGTTATGAGTCTGTAACATCACCAGCTTCAATAGTCACTTGCTAAAACCAGTTAATTTCCCTAGCTGCTTTCAGAACCATTATATAAAGATGTATTAAATCTGATCTCTAAAAAATTCAAAGTGTTGGGGCCTCCCCAGTGGCGCAGCGGGTTGAGCACAGCACTGTGAAGCTGTCCACAGCCTCTGCAGCGCAGGTTCGATTCTCGGCCAGCCAGGGAGTGTGTTACCCACATGGCGCAGCAGACCTCTGCTGTCTCGCCCGCTGCTCCCCTCAGCAGTATACTTCGGTCCTTCTGCCTGTTCTGCTCCCTACTCTGTCTCTGGTGAATTCTCTCACCCTCCCATCCCTCTGGCCTATACCCCAGTGCTTGTATAAATAAATAAATCTTCAAAAAAAAAAATTCAGGGCCTCCCCTGGTGGCACAGGCCATTGAGCGCCACACAGTGAAGCTATCCACAGCCGCTGCAGCGCCAGTTTGATCCCCGGCTGGCCAGGGAGAATCCCACATGGCACAGCAGGCCTCTCCTGTCATGCCCACTGCTCCCCTCAGCAGTGTATTTCATCAGTCTGCCTGTTCTGCTTCCCACTCTGTCTCTGGTGAATCCTCTCACCCTCCCTCTCACCCTCCCGCACATCTGGCCTGTACCCCGGTTCTTGTATAAATAAATAAATAAATCTTTAAAAAAAAAATTCAGTGTGCAAAGCATTTAAAACTTTAATAACTTTTCTAGGTGAGCTCCTAGACCATTCATAGCTAAGTATATCTTATGATAAACTACTTAAGTTTTTTGATTTCTGGTGAAAAAGTAAAACCTTCTTAGAAGGTAATTAATCTTTTGTAGATACACCATTGTTTTGCTGCATATCGCTAAAACATTATATGCAAATTGAAACTTTGAAAAGAAAATTAGACTTTGATTTATATGAGAAGTGAATGATTTTCTACAGCATTTTATATTGTAAGGGGGGAATTTATAAGATAGATTTAGTAGTGGGGAAGTGCAAATCAAATCCACAATGAGAGGCTCTCTCACCTCTGAGGAATGGGCATAGCAAAGAGACCAGAAACAACAAATGCTCGTGATGGTGTGAAAGAAAGGGGAGCCTTGTACATTGTTGGTGAAAATGTAAGTAAAGAAAAAACTAGTTTTTTCTATTCATGTACAATTACTTTTCCTGAAATGATTAATCATACTCCTTTTTTCATAATTTCTGCTTTTCTGGTAAGAATTGCAATACTTCTTTCAGCTCTCAAAATCTCGCATTCTTTGCTTCTTCTCTCTGCAGAACAAGCCCATAGAACAGAACATTTCAGTTGTCACAGATGGCCTCAGTGAGATAGAGCAATCCTTTGTTTCTGTGAGTGATAAATATAGATGATTAGTGAATACATATAAAATAGTCCATTTGTCCAAAGTTTTATTATTATTATTATTATTAAATGATTATTGATATAACAACATCATCTAATTTATGGCATTCTGATTTATGGACTCTTTATTGTTCAAAATTGATAAATTGAGATAGGAATCTTACATATGGTTACCTGAAGATTCTGAATTCAAGTAGTTCAATACAATTTAATTTTTTACTTGATCAAATCTGAAATTGTTAAATTATCAAACCAATAAATAGAAATCCTTTTCCCTCTGTTAGAAAATTTGGGAAGTCATTGGGAAAATGGATCCCTTGTGATTAGTTGTTTAAATCCTTATATTAGTCGGGGTTTTCCAGGATAATAGAACCAATGGGATATGTGTGTGTGGCTATATGATTTAGCCTTTTGACAATGAGAGTATGAAAAATGAGTCCTGGAGTCTTAAGAAGGTAGGTACCAAGGCATATATATTCACTATGTGTTCATTAGTCAGTCTACAAATAGCATGATCCCTCCTGTTATAACTCAGAGATTCCCAGGGAGTGACTGTCCTGCAGTTTGTATCACTCCCTACCAAGTAAGTACAACATTCTGGCCCTACTTTCAGGAAGCATCTACATTAATTGGGAAGATGAAAACTCAATTACTAATTCCAATATAAATTACAGTATTTAAAAAAAAGCCAGGAGAATATATCATAGTCAAATACTTGAGCTTAAGAGTCTTAGCTATTTTCTGACTCCTCATTTTTCAAATGAATAAACTGAGATCTGGAGAAATACATAATGACTTCCTCATAATCATGTTACTAATTAAGGAAGTGCAGAGGAAAGAGAATTTTAGAACGGTTTTTAATAGGTCTCTCAAGGATGTGGCCAAGAACTGCCCTACCCAGCCTGGTTCTTTTTCTCGTGGGCTGCATGTCTGCTGTTTCTCGTTCTGAACTGACTTTCTCTGCTTCGCTTGCTTGTTGCCCAAAGACAGCCGAACAAACACGCCAGCCCCGAGGAGAAAGGGCTGACCAGCTGACGCTAGTGTCTAGGCTGGGTCCATTTATCAGTGTGGATGCTTGATCTATTCAGCTGTTACTGGTATCACGTAAAAAAAGTGTCCTGCATTAACTGTGACATCTCAACAGTGGGGATCTCCGTGTGCTATCTAGTCTAGGCAAGGATGTGCATTATGTGTTCCAGACGCCAAGAGTCCATTAAGCAGAGCAAGATTTACGCATGAAGGGATAGAAGGCCTCATTCACAGTGCAGATGGCTCAGTGCTTTGGATTTTATCCTGTAGCTGCTAGGGAGACTGCGAAAAAGTTCATTTTGTTTTGTAAACATTGTATTCATCATCTAATAGTAACATTCAGTGCAGAGGAGAACATCTTCTACATTATAACATGGGCCTCCCCGGTGGTGGCCGCTGTGAAGCTGTCACAGCCTTGGCAGCAGAGAATTCTCTTACTAGACCCACAATGGAACAGTGTATTTATTACATCGTTAGCATCCCAGTGGAATTGTACACTGCTCCTAACTAAGGCAGAATAAACAAATTTAATTTAACAAAGATGTTTAGTGAAAAAAAAAACTATTCTTCTGAAATATTCAGCAGTTGTAATGTACGTATATTTTTCCTTTGGAGAAACTGGAGTTTTCACCTATTACTTCTGGAAAAGTAATATGTGTTACTTTGCTGCAGCTTTCACTGCCACTCCAAAATGTGATTTAGATGCTGTCTCGTACGTGTAAGTATCATTGAAGCAAGGAACTTAGAGCATTACTTTATTTCTCAGCAGCCATTGATCAACTTCTGTGTACTTGAAAATTTAACTTGTAGTAGAAATCACTGACTAGTATCTTAAATTAAAGCAGAAAAATTTAGTTTTGTTCAATTTTATACCAAACAGTAAAAAAGTAAAACCTGTAAAGATAGGAACAGAACTCAAGAGGTTATCATAAAGATGAAACACAGCATTTTCTAATGCTGTGGGCTACCAGTTTTCTGTGGGCTACATTGGCAAGTCATGGCGCCCTTTCTTTAAAGATTGCAAAAGTGACCCAAAGAACTCCTGTCTATACTCTACCCAGATTCAGAAATTATTGACATTTTGTCACACTTGATATGTTATCATTTCTGTTCTCTGTATATGTATATGTGCACATACGTACTTATATACACATTCTTCATACAAAATGGTAATTACCTGAGAGTTGCAGAAATCATGTCCCTTTACCCCTAAATACTTCAGAATCACATTCAGTACTATCATCGCATCAACAGTCCTCATTTAATTTTGGCTAGTTGTCCCATAAGTTTATCACATTTAACTAATCTGGTCCAGGCTCCAGTCCAGGTCACACATTGCATTGACTTTTCATGTCCCTTTGGCCTTGTTTTGCCCATGATGCACCCTCAGCCTTTCCTTGTGTTGCTGTTTGGTAACACTGACATTTTTTAGGAGCACGGGTCACTTATGTTATAGAGCACGCTTCAGTTTGGATTTCTGTGTGGTGCCTCATGCTAGATTCAGGTCGGGGTTGCGATGGGGTGTCACGTGCAACGCTGCATCTTCGGAACACGCCTCAAGAGCCTGGGTGTCGTTTGTCCACTTCCTCGCCTTGGTAGCTTTGGTGTCAGTGTCGTGTCATCAGGCTTTTTTTAGGCGTCATTATGTTTGTGGCTCATTAGTTTCTTTGTCTCCTCCTTAAGCGCTCCCTCAAGTAGACCTCTCAGGAGAGTGGTTGCACGTAGCTCTCGTCAGGAGGAAGATGTTTACTGAGTGCATCCCTGGGCCCCAAGCCTCAGTCTAGGTCGAGGGATGTATCAGTGAATAGGACAATAAGGTTCCTGTTCTTTTTTCCTTTATCTTTTGACCTCCTTCAATCCATTTTGCCCACCCCTGCCTCTGGCAACCATCAGCCTGCTCTCTGTGTCAATGAGGCTTTATTTTTTGTGTTTTTAGATTCCACATTTAAGGGCGATCATGCAGAATTTGTCCTTTTTTTTAAACATTATTATTGTCCTTATAAATTGTCTCCTCTTCTGTTATTTCTTAACCCACCATGTGTTGTATCCCCTTATCTCCCCCCCTAAACTTGAGAGCCCTCACAGTCTTAATTAATGTCCCCTGTTTTTGAGTCTTACTTTATCAAATCATCTGCTGTGTAGATGTCCAGTATTTTTGTCCTTCTGGCTGGCTTTACGACACATAATTCTCTCAGACTCCCTCCATTTTGCTGAAAATGCTGCATTCATTTCTGTTGTGGTTGAAAAATATTCCAGAGTGTGGCTCGACCACACCATCTTGATTCAGCCGTCTCTCAGTGGACTTTTCTATTGTAAATAGTGCTTCAGTGAACACTGGGGAGCATCTATTTATTTGTATTGATGGTTTCATGTTCTTTGCATCGATGCCCGAGAGTGTGACGGCTGGCTGTATGTGGCATTTCCATCTTCAGTTTGGGAGGTAAGTCCAGATTGCTTTCTGTGGTAGCTGCGTCCGTTTTCATTCCCACCAACAGGGCATTCGGGTTCCTCTTTCTCCCCATTCTCCCCAGCACTTGCTGGTATTTGTCTTTCTGTCTGGTTCATTTTACTTAGCATAATGCCCTCAGTGGATCGCTATTGTCGTGGCAAGATTTGGGTTTTTTGTGGCTTAATAATATTCCTCTGTGTGTGTGTGTGTGTGTGTGTGTGTGTGTGATTGTGTGTGACCTTTTTTTTATCCATTCATAGATGGATCATTTAGGTTGTTTCCATATCTCGGCTACTGTAAATAATGCAAGGAACATGTGGGTACGTATATCTTTTCCAGTTAGTCTTCAGTGTCTTTAGATAAATACCAAAAGTGAAGCTGCTGCTCGTATGGTAGTTCAATTTTTAAACGTTTTCAGTAACCTCCTTGTTATTTGCCATCCTCGTTACACCAATTTACATGCCCTGCAGCAGTGCCCAAGCATCCCCTTTCGCCACATCCTGGCTGAAACTTACTACCTTTTTTATAGCAGCCATTCTTAAAGGGCTTTTGTTCTTACGGAGTTTACATTCTTGAATTCCATTTCAAAAGATCAGGCTGTCAATAATGTGATATTAGAGGCACACAGACTAGTTAAAAAGTAATTAGATAACCCTACTCTGTGGTTATCCCCACTTTATATAGATTTTTTTTAATTGCGTCTACCCAATAATATCACAAAATTGAGACTAGAAGTAGTGTCCTAGATAAATATCACTTCTGCCAATTACACTGTGAATTTGAATTATCTGCTACACTGTGTAAGCAATTTAAGATCATTCAGTTTCTTCTTTTCATGTTACGGAATCTGGCAGCTCGTGGAAATGTTGATCCTTAAAAGCAAGCAATCGAACAGATTTCCCAGGACTTAGGCACAGCACTTGGTTCTTCCTCTTCCCTTCGTGTCTGTGATATATAATTAATCATAGATTACTTCATTTTGTTTCATTTCATTTACAACATTTATGAGCTTCGCTTTGTCAGAATGAAATGCTTGTCCCCGCCTTTCCTTTCCAAAGTGCTGTAATTAGTGTTAGCATCTTTTTTAACAGGCTACATAAAGTTTAGTGGCCGGATTAAATCAAGTCATTAACATAATGCACTCCCCAATTTGCCCCTATCTTCCTTCGTTTCTAGAACATCAAAGTACCACCGAGCGCCAGTGTAATTGGGCCTTGCTGGCCTGTCACATTCTGTCAGCCTGATGACTACCGCTTTACTGAAAAGCTTCTAGGCATGATAATTAATGGAGGGGGAAAGCCTGAAAAATCTAAAACTTTGGACATCTCTCTATGAATATTTTATTAATTTGAATAATCAGAAGTTAACAGTATCAATCTGATGTATAATACATTGATTTAAAGCCTTGTTTTAGATCCTCAACATAGACATCAAAACTGAACATTTGCATCTGCCATGGCATTAAAAGAAGAATTAATCCTTCTAATTTTTTCACTTAAGCAATGCATC